ATAGTAGTAATATAAGATCTATAAGATCTAGTTATATTCTTCTATACTAGTAGAAAATAGATTATTTCTAAATTCTCTCTAATTCTACTATATAATCTTTAGCTTTATATCTTATTATTATATAAAGATAGATAGATTTATACTTTTTAGTATCTTATTATTTCTATATAAGCTATTAGTATATAGCTTCTTTATTTTCTATTATTATTTATCTTACTTATTAAGTATAGCTTTATTCTACTATAGTTTTTCTATAGCTATTAACTTATTTCTTTTAGGATACTAGATATATATTTCTCTATATAGATTTAGTTTTTTTTATTACTAGAGTTAGAGTATTTATTCCTAATATTATAATCTTCTAGCTATCTATTAAGATATTATTTTAAGTATTTAGTATTTCTAGTATTTTTTTAGTAGATTTCTAGCTTCTTTTCTTATTATACTATAGCTATAATTCTTATTATTTCTACTAATAGTTAGATTATAAGTTCTAGTACTAGTATCTATTCTTTCTAAGTTTCTTTTCTTATTAATTTTTAAAATAGAGTTCTTTTAATAAGATACTTCTACTTCTTTTTTAAATAAGTATTATTCTTAGCTAAATAGGTATATAGGCTAGCTTAAACTAAGTATTTATATATATCTTAATTATAGTAATTATTTATATTTATACTGCTATTTTAAGTTCTTCTATCTTCTAAATAGTATTTAATAATTATTATTTAATAGATATAGGTTGGAATTGTTATTCTTTCTTAGACTTATAGTATTCTTATATAAAATTCCTTTCTTATTATAGTTATAGTATATAATATCCTTCTTATCTCAAGGCTACTTTTATATAGCTTTAAGTTCTATAGTTTAGTATATATTCCTAAGAGGTATTTCTATAAGAGTTACTCTAGTAGCTACCTCTTTATTCTTTATAGATTCTTATTAATTAGATAGTAAGAATTATATAGAGTATCTAACCTCTTTAGTATATTATAGCTTCTTTCTATATTTTTTATACTGTTATTTATTAATTTTAATAGCTATAGTAATATATTCTATAAGATATTAGTTAATTAGCTTTATAGAGCTTTTCTTAATCTTATTTTTAGCTCTTAGTAGAATATTTCTATAAGTATCTTATTCTTTAGTCTAACTTAAAGGCAACTATTAGAGTATAATAATATAAGTAGTAGTAGAAGTAAATTTATTTAAGTATATAAATCTTTATAGCTATCTTTTTTTTATTAATTATTCTAAATATATTTTAAGAGCTATTTTAAAGTTTTTCTAATCTATAAATAGTTAATTATATCTAATTTTAATTAACTTTATTATTATTAAGAAAGTTTTAAGAATAGATTTAAATTAATTCTTAGTATTACTAGCTATTAAATTACTTATAAATAGCAGTTATAATTTTATAGATACTAATTATTATAGATACTACTAGAAGTATCTTTTTATTCTAGTAATAAAAAGTATAATATTACTAAGTATTCTATTAAACTTTTTAAATAATAGTAATTTTATTACTTCCTTTAAGTTATATTTAGTATTTATAGTAACTATAGCTAGTATATTCTATACTTACTACTATAGAATATAAATTAGGTTACTTAAATATACTACTTTAATAGCTATATTAATATTATTTACTAGTATATTATAGGCTAGTAGTATAAGTATATTACTTAGAATAGCAGGATTTAATTAATTTTAAATATCTTAATAGTATAAGATATTACTTAATAGTTAATATAAGTAACTATTCTAAATAAGAGCTATTAATATATAATAGTTATATCTTCTAGTCTGCTATAGATATAATCTAGAGTAGATAGAAGGCAGGTTGCTAGTGGATAAACTATAGGTTTATATTAGCAGAGCAGTTAGGGCGTTACTTATAAGGTAATATTATATCTGGTAATAGTTAAGCATAGTAATATATAGTAAGTTAAGGTAATTAAGGTAATTAAGTTATATTAATAGCTGAGTAGCTATTTATTAGGAATATATACTACTCTGTTATCTATATACTTAGATAGATTGCTGGATTGTATAAGTAATCCAGTAATCCAGGATCGTAGGATTACAAAGGTAATCCTGCAATCCTATTTTAGTTAGTCGAAAATTATAGGTACTAGAATTCTGCCAGTCCCGACCGCCTGCCATCTACCCGAGGTGTGCATGGGTCGTGACAATACTCCGTCACCCAGACATATTCTCGCACAGGGCCTTTCTGTTTAATTATCTTTCTAAGATCGTCATCGCCGTTGAATATCTTAGGTAACGAGTCACCAGAGTTAAGCACTCGGAGTGTGACAAGCAATATACCGCATGAGGCAAGGATATCTATTATTAACACTGGAACGCCTACCCCTCAACATAAAAAGACCAGCACAGAGCTGGATGAGGAACTTCGCGAGAAGTTAGAGATGATATCGGGGGAAGGGGCCGCTGGGGTTGAATTTAAGGATGGTAAAGCTGCTAGATTAAAGAGGGAGTGAAGTCTAATATGTTTCGAGTCATCTAGAAGCAAAAGGGAAATTCTAGCAGATGTAGTATGAATGCAGAAAGGAAATCAAGTCACTGAATACCCAATTGTACGTTGGTGGTATGCTTCACAGCTCTAAACCATCGAAGCCTCACATTGTGTTTTTTTATTCTTGTCACTTTAGATCCCCCTTCTCCATTTGCCTAAGTACCCAGGCTTGACTTGATTTCTCGCTGTTGAATAAGAAGCAAGGGTGGCGGGGTGATGTTAAATTCGGAGTCCTACGAAGCCGACTTCTGGGGCCTCGCCTGGCCTGATATCCCTATGTGCTAGGCCATGGGCCGTGCACATATCTCTTAGAGGTATGAATCTCATCACGTTGACTCAAAACATGTTAAGAGTAGAACACTACGGGAGTGTAGAGAGTGTATATATAAGCGCCATACTTCTGGTCCTAGATGCAAGCTCCCTCGGAGACATAGAAGAAATAAGCGCAATCGAAAAGAGCGCCCATTTCTATTATCACCATCATACTGGGTTCTACTCCATATCTTTGTTCAAAATTATAAGACGTCCAATTTTTACTACTGGGTAGCGAGTGAAGGGTTTCGGCTACGAATAAGCTCAGGGATAAAAGAATAGGCGAGAAATGCTTGTAAACAATACAAGGCCCGGTGGCCGGTTGGGGGGGATAAGATGAGCTTACATAAACAGGTAACAGCCTCAAGAAACATTTGGACACTATAGTATAAGAAACTAGCAGCTATAGAATTAGGCCTTGCAGCTGATTGATCATGTTGAGATAAAACAGGCATGCTTCACCTGGGCAACAACCCCTTTATCCGTAAGTCACAGGAAAATCTCCATCCCTGCCTATTGCAACTGACTCTACTTCCTCCGCCTAAAAATATTTCGAGGCATCTGTCGAGGTTCGTGTCTCGCTCCGGCCGTTGCTTCAAACTCTTATCCATGTAATGATATCAAGAGTCACTGACAATACAAATGCCGACAGACATACTAAAAGAACATTTCAGGATTGAGAATAGGTGCATATCAAAGTCAGTTCGGTTATAATTATGCCGAGCACTGATACAGAGGAGACCTAATTCTCGTAAATTTGACCCCAGCAAAACTATCCCTATAAGCCTTAAGGTGAAATAGCGCCCCAGCTCTATTTCATACACTTTCACCCATCATAGGGACATACATCTTGAATGCCGAGGCGTTTTCTCCGTGGCTTGCTTTCATGTGAAGTCCTCGACAGCTGGAATCAGAGAAATTCTCAGGATTTCCAAGTTAGAAGCAAGAGGCTCATTATTGAGCAAGTTTCAACTCTTAAGACACGGAATAGTGTAAACCCAGTCGACGTAGTAATCTCAATTGGTATACCAAGCACCAGCCCTGTTGCCAGGAGCAACCGCTCTGTCACTAATAGATAACTCAATACCCTCATCGGTGGCAGGAGAAACGCATCACGCGTCGACTTTGTACAAGTATTAACCATAGGTGAAGGCCTTTGTCGAGACTTCAATTGCTGCTGCAAATCAAATTGCAGTGTTCATTGCTAGAATTGGTGTCTTTGCTGATGTGTTCAATCCATTCAATGGAGGCTTCAATCTCGTTCTTAAAAATGGGCGGGGTTTCCGGGTAGATTTCACCCCTTAGGTAGAAGAGCTGTTCCTGAGCACAGTCACCATAAAAAGCGAGTATCAGCGGAAGGTGAAGTAGAAATGGAAGTTGGAATCTAATTTGTGGCTGGGCTTTAGAGTTGAGGATAAGCTGCTGTATGAAGGCAAATATATCACAGATGAGAGACTGGGGAGGAAATATTGATTGAATAGTGCGTAAGGAAATGTACTCTTTGTATATTCTGAACATCTATGGACAATATTGATGTCAAAACGTGCGTTCAATGGAGGATTAGCCACTATCAGCCGTGTTCCCTTCTAGCTCTTAATAAACAGACAGGAGTATGCTGCTAAGGGCGTTTTAGTAAGACGGAGTGGCATTATTATTCTGTGCGATGAACATTTGCATTTGCTATAACCACAAAGGAAAGATATGTTGAACTGGACTATGTTCGATCATCTGGGCGTTGGGTAATTAGTCACGTGAGGGTAGGGCCTTTTGGGCCCGAATCGGCCTGCACTCGCATCCCTGACTTAAAGGGGCGGGAGCTACAGTGAACAGATACACAATGTACACACACATTCGAAGTCATCCAGTGGTCACATAAGCTATCTAACAAGACCCCCCAGTATATGTACTAGATGGTTTCAAATCATACGTCACTTGAGGCCAATTGCATCGTTAAGTCTACATCTAATAGCTAACTGTATGCTAGGTCGAACTGGGAAGTAGCTAAAAGTTGACTGCTGTAAAAATAGCTCGGGTTAGATAATTGCATAATGTGATAGCTGCGTTATGTAAGTGGTGGTATTTTAACTTGGAGATTGCATTATGTGCCTTTTCAAGAGAAAGGTCTCTTCCAACATGATAGTATCTATTACTACATCTCCAGAACAGCTCTGTATCGCACCTTGTTCTGCTCAAGGCGTTCGAAAATAGTTTGAACGCTTGCGAGGCCGTCATGCTTGAAGACCTGAACGATTGGCTTGATATTGTGGCGAGCTGAAAATTCAAGCATCTCATCGTGGACTCCACAAGAGCCGACTAGGCTGGAGAAAACGTGAAACCCGTTGAAGAACATCGCATTTGCGCTAAGAAGGAGTCAGTTAATGAACATCCCACGGCGTTAGATGGTTTGGTATGCTTTGACTTACGGTAAACTGAGGGGCCCATTAACAGGGGCAGCCAGCGGTACGATTGTACCATCTCTAGCGAGAAACTCCTTTACCAGAACCCTAGTTTCATGCTTGCATTAATGTACGGCCCTGCCAGACAGTTCGGGTTATACATACTTCTCCCAGTTCGGATACTTGGAGCCTGCAACAACCAAGACGTCGATAGGTGAGGCGTTTTTGTCGAACATCTCATCGATGAGATGAAACTCTGTTGCGCCCAGTTCCCTAGCCTCGCTCTCTTTGCTGGGGGTCGTGCTGTAGACAACAACCTCGGCACCCATTTTGGCCGCGTACTGGATGGCTAAATGGCCTAGTCCTCCAATACCGAAGATGCCCACTCTTTTCTCGCTCGTAACGGTAGCCTTCAAGGCCGTGTACACAGTGGTTCCGGCGCACTGAAGAGGTGCAGCGTGCTCACTAGCCAAGCCCTCCGGAATCTTATGGAGAAATGTCTCCTTGCCAATATAGTAAGTGCCAAAAGTACCGTTGTCAAAGTCCCCCTCGCCAAAGGTAACGCGCCCATAGCAATAAATGTCTCGGCCAGACAAACAGTACTTGCAGTGGCCACAAGCACTTCGATGGAAGCCGCCTCCGGCACGATCTCCGACTGTAAATTGAGTCACAAGAGAACCAACTGCTTCAACAATACCAACTCCTTCATGTCCTAGAGCTGCAGGTATGCCTCCCTGGCAGTAGAGTAGATCAGTGTGGCAAACACCGGTGTGAGTGATCCGAATGAGAATGTCGTGAGGCTTGAGGTCAGGGATCTTCACACTAACGAGGCTGGGGGCACCATCCTTAGATCGGTAGACGCTGTACTCTTTGCCCGAGAAGCCGCGAGAAGACATGTTTTTGGTTTTCGTTGGGGTTGTCTTGTGGTAAAACGTGGAGGAGATGTTAATTGCACCTGAAGAGAGTACTGGGATGAGGGTATTCTGAATCCAAGAGCCGTAGTACGCCATATTTATACTAGATATATGGCAAAGAAAATCACTGCCGATGATTGAGCTATTGTCAAGGTGTTGTGACTTAGTCAGGACCTGCATGAGGGTACCGAGTTTTAGTTAGACCGTTATGCTCACTAATTTTCAAGCCAGTAGGGCTGTGGTTATCCAATAGGAAGATACGGAGTGTGAGCACAATCAGGGACATCGCAAAACATAAAAAGAAATGCACCCTGTGATTGGATTGACCAGGTGCTCTTGTTGCCTGTTCCATTTCTGCGGCGCTCCGTTACTCAGCAGCATTGATTAGAAGCACGGTTTCTTGCCGCTTATCCGTAAGGGGGGTCAGCTAAAACCAACACTCAGCGAACTAAGGTGAGAGTTAGACAAGCGAGCCAATCGGAAGGTATACAGCTCACAAGAAGCAACGATAACGCGGTGGAATTACTTGAATTCCTCCGACTGCATAAAATGCTAGCTCATGTCAGCTTCCGCTGGTTCGGCATTGTTGAGTAAAGGCCCACGCACCGTTCCGCCGTCATATTCCACTATCACTTCTGATGAATAAGGTACACATCTGGCACTCGGAGGTGTATTTCTCCCCTCAAACTATAACTCAGAGTCTGTCACAATCAAGATAAGCATTATTTGCACTTCATATAAGCAGAATACGACGGCCGTTTTGCCATGGGGGTCAAAATACAAACACTGCCAGTACTAATATAGGTTATCATTGCATCATCCACTGGGGCTGGCTCGGCCGGAGTCCTGGTATGCTTTCGTACAAGCCCGCAGTCAGCCTACCCTATGCCTAAGATAGACCCAATCACAAATTACCATATCATCACCAAAACAAATTATTCGCTTCAATACACTTGCACTTATGCCTGTACAGGTGAGTATTTCGTAAAAAAGACAATTATTAAGTTAGACGATTATAATATAGCCGGACCAATCAAGACATTGAAAAACCAACATTATTTGTACTGGAGAATGGATTATGTAAACGTTGTAGAGAGCAATGACTTCCACATCTTCTCCCTTCCGCGATATAGCGCACCTCTATCATTCACAAGAACTCGCCTCGTACTCAATCACACATCTTCTCCCTTTCACCTAATGATTTCGTTTTGAGGATCATCCTGATTATTGAAGCCACAGCCTCTATTGGTTCAATTAACTCGAGGCGCTACCTTGATTCTTATTACCTTGGATATATCCGCCCGAAGCATCAATTTCTGTATTCTCTGGTCGGAGCGCCATTTTTAACAGCATGAGGTGTTGAAGATCAACTTCATTACATTCATGCCGCCATCACTGCTAAGGCGAGACGTGGAGAATGCTAATTAGCCTGTACATGTAAGGTAGACTTAACAGTTATTTACAGCAGTTTGAACTTGAAGGTGAGAGACAGGATGTTAGTATACAGCGTTCATAAAACTTTACAGGATTTGACTAGTGCTGCGGTAGTGGCTTGCACAGTTGCCGGCGTCTCTTCATTGCATGCTCCATGGTGTCTCGCTCAGGAAGAATTTGTCCGTGCTAACCCTCTTATCCTTATTTCTCCAGTCCTTATCGCCGACCAAAGGATGAGTGATTAGTGATAGCTTGGGGCAAGGATGGCAAGGTACATAAAACGAGCTTGCCATTCAGTTTTCCCGATTCGCAAGATCAACTTTCTCATGAACTAATCCAGCAGAAAAAGAATATACCTCAATGGCCAAACCGGAAAACACGGCCGTTGTTCGCACACGTGCGATAGGGAAGATCGTCAGTTCTGATGATGTCGATATCGCTTCAAGAGCTATTGAAGGCACTCAAACCACTGAACTGCACATTGACCATGCCACTTCTGCGAGACTACTCAAATCAATAGACAGACAAATGATGCCTGTAAGTTTCTGAACATTTGCTCACTCATAAAGATCATTGCTAACTGTAGATATTCTGTAGATCCTCTACAGTGTGTATGATCAAAACTTCCTTGATAAAACTGCATTGACCTACGCATCAGTGATGGATCTGACAGCTTCTCATGTCGATGGCGGCATTGAACTGCACGGCGGACAGGAGAGTTGGCTAGCAAGGTACAACACAGATCGATATTATTCATTGTCCGTATGGTTCACGGGCGTCTTAGAGTATTTTTCTTCGGATACCTCTCCGAAGCATGGCCTACAACTGTGAGTCACAACGACAAACGTAGTCACCGTATTTGAGCAGTTTTGTAGCGTCTACTGCAGTATCTTCCCCTCGCAAAGTATCTCACTTTCAATATCATCGTCTGGGGGGCCGTCCTCTGCTGTTTCCCTAATGCAACCAATTTCGCCGGTGCTATGGTGCTCCGTTTCTCCTTAGGTTTACTGGAATCTTCTATTACATCAGGCTTCGCCTTGATCAGTGATCACATGCCTGTGGTACATGGAGTCCGAACAAGGTATGTGGACAGTCCTCTGGTTCGGTTTCAACGGAGTAGTCCAAATATTCGACTGAGCCATGGCCTATGGCATCAGTAGGATTACAAAAGAGCATAAGTTTACGATTGAACCCTGGAAATTTGTCTTCTTCGTTTGTAGCCTGGTAACGGTGGTCTTGGAATCGTCTCTCTGTGGGTTGCACCCGATAACCAGACCAACGCTCGATGGCTCACAGAACGGGGCCAACTGCTCTGCATTCAACGGATCAAAGGCAACCAACAGGGTATCGGAACCCGTTGTTGGAGGAGACACCAGGCGACCCTACTCTCCGTGATATCTAGGAATGTGGTAGGGTATACTAAGAAAACCACGGCGGCTGCCATGCGCCTGGTTGCTTACCGTGTGGGTAACATCATTGGCCCATAGACGTTCCAAGGTGCTAGCTGGAACTCAGCAGAGTTTTCCTTCATCGGTTACTATACCCTCTACTTCTTGGACGCGCTCTTCATTCGCTGGTATTACTTGCGGTTGAATCGCAGGAGGGCTGCGCTCATCCAAGTCGAGCAAGCCATGGGCGAAAGCCCAAGGCAGTAAGTTGAGTCTTCAGTCCCTTTTCGAACGCTTAATAACCTCAATCCACAGGTGGCTAGACTTGACCGACAGAGAAAATCCCGACTTTAGGTATAGCGTGTAGCAGAAGCTTTCTGACACGTCTGGTCGAGCTGGTAGTCCCCTTTAGGCCCCAGAACTCGGTTCAGAGGTCCTTCTCCGAACAGCATTCAAGGTGGCGCTAGCTGTAGTGACAGCACTTGTAGTCAATTTCAGGTTTATTCTATCAACTTCGGAAATGCCGAGGCTTCTAATAACGGTTTGATAATGGCTGTTCTTTATGTGGAGGTCTAGTTACTTTCCGTAATCAAGCACTGGTGTCGGTTCTCATTGTCAGTGAGGGTCCACGAATATACCGGGCTCGTCCCACGACAGGAAACCGACGTCCATATATCTGGAATCAATCAAGTCGTTGTTGAGCATCAGATCGAATTCCTCATTCATCCGTGGCGCTTCTGGAGCATTGTCTTGGGAATGGTTGGATCGTGAGGCAGAGAACCCGGCCGCCTCCGGCTGCTGAACGCCAAGGGGAAGGGTATCATCGAGGAACCGGTTCTGAATCCACGGGAGCGCCGAGGCCGGTAAAGGGTCGACCGTGTCCTGAGAAAATGGATCGTTCCCTTGCTCTTTGGTATCGGCCAGGAGTCGTGCAAGAATGGCCGAGAGAAGACGTGCCTGGGCGGAAAGAGCATTTTCGACAGAAACTGTGCCTGAGCTCACTTGAGAAGACGTACGCGGGCTCTCTAGCGAGTTGGCTGCAGTCAAAAGGATTGTGGTAACCTCGGCAAGTACATTGAGGGCTTCACGTTTTGAGACCCCCGAGGCATTGCTGGCCTGTCTCAACAACTTCGGGATCATCATTGCAGCATACGCGGCCATAAGATGAGCAGTATCCCAAAGATAATAAAGAATGTTCATTTTACCCATCTTGATCGTTTGTCGCAACACACTGAGCGCACTCGAGAAGCACACTCCAGTTACATCAGCTATGTCAGTGGCGAAAGAAGCGACATTGTTTGCGACGAGCATTCGATGCAATAGCACTGAATTGAAGTGGAGACGCATGTAATCTCGGAAAAAATGGATCAAGGGCGTCTGGAAAGGCTCAGGATTAGGAACTAGACGATGGGTCAGCGGGACAAAGCCAAAGATTCAGTCAGCCATTGAGTTCCTACAAGTCAAGAATGTCGAGCGCCAATACTCTGCCCACTCAGTCATCCTACTATTGAAATCCCGCATGTCGTTTTGAAAGGACTGAAGGTCTTGAATAGAATGAGGCGAAAGAGGCGAAAGGGAAGCAGGATGTTGGCGAGTTTTCATCATAGTGGCGTAAACCGGACGAGCGATAGTGGTCAACTCGAACCCTCCAACGGCTTTGCCATCTCCCAGCGGGTATGTCCACCTTGTCAAGGATAGCCAATGGCGAGATGCAATTTCTTCATTAACTAGCGCACTGGATAATGGCCGGTCCGTAAAGTAGCTCGATCTGGGATCTCAGTTAGTCACTGATGCGTGCACGCAACAATCCCAAGAGTCTGGCCTGCTTACGTTCGATCTATATTTCCCAGGGCTAGCCATAATCGATCTTTGTCTCTCATCTGCCGTAAATCTAACTCGGAAAGGTGTGGATTTAAAGGGTCTTTCGTGTCATACGAAACGCTTCGTCGTGTCATATTCCACTCAGCAGAGGCTGCCAGTCGTAAAGCAAACCCGATCAAGATGTATCCCCTCGTGTCATTGATGTCTTTCCAGTGATACATGCAGATAATTGCCCAGATACTCTCAACAGCTGAGTCGCAACTGAGCAAGGCTCGGCCCAGCAAAAGCTCTGCGTGTTCTCGAATACGCATATGGGATTCTGGCTGGAAGATCCTTGACGAGACGGTCAGAATCATAGTGAATAGCAAGCTAGATCTCGCTCTTGTATACGCAAACGTGTATAGCTGCGGATCAAGCAATCCCACAAGGCAGTTAAAATGCCTCATAAACCTATTTTGCAGCAGATTTATTAGCACCAATGTCATCCTAGAGCAGACATTGCCGTCCATACCCTTCAAACAGATATTGCGCAGGCGGCCGACGAAGGATTCCGAGATCGATAGGATCGTCTTGCACCGCTCCACTTGGCGGCGTGTTCTCCAGGGACTTGTCGCGGTGGGCGTCGGCCCCAACAACGGTTCTCTCCGGGTCGAGAGCCCTGTCTAGTGATAGTCCTCCAGTGTCTTCGGAATTCACGACGAACGAAGCGGGTGTGAAAGATGATTGACCCGAATCTGAGGGGATAAGAACAGGGGGTATGCGGTCAAGGGAAGACTCAGGTGTGGCAAACAGGGACTCGACGGACTGCGCAGATGGACTCCCTGAACCGTTGTAAATTCCCGCCGATGCTCCAGCCAAAATATGGTCGCGGTCAACACGAGGAGCCTCTTGTTGCTCCTCCCTGGAACTGTGGGAACATGTCAGAGCCCGATTTGCACATGTCCAAGTTCCAAACGCACTTTGCCCCCTCCTGGCCTCGGCGCCGGTGGCCCCGAGGACGCAACTCGTACACGCAGTGTTTCGGTAGTCTTGAACAACCATCACAGCTTTGGGCCCCTGGATCCGAGGCCACGCACTTTATTTTTGCACGCCGGCAAGGCGTACATGCGACGCCGTACGGCCGTCTCGAAAACGTCAGCACGGTCATGGTCACGGCCACGGTCGGCAAGGATGGCAGCACCTGCACTCACCGCCGTGGAGCCCGTCGCCTGGTCAAGTCGGTCATTACGTAGTCCACCACAGCAGGGCGTGGTCTAGCCTGCAAAAACTCGCTCCAGGCCGCGGCGAAGGCTCACAATGATGAAGTCGGTCGTCCTGTTTGCCGCAGGGCGGCCCCCATTGTCGAGGATTGCGAGGGAGGAGGGCCCCTGAGTCCGTCCCTCCGTTGGGGAAGAATTCGGAAACTGTGTGCCCCATCATCGTCCATCCACGCACGGGTGGGGCGACTGGCCCGTCGCCATTAATTGATTACTGATAAATAGATCCGATCAGACGGAGTTAGTAGGACTGGTCTTCTGCATATGCAACTCCTTCGAAGGTCTCTGGCTGGTACGGCGTTCTTCTGCCCTCAATACCGCGCGGACCATTGTCTCGGAACGGCCTAGTTCTCCTTCACCCGGCTTCCGATTTGTCTGTGGACGGAATTGGACCTTCGGAGGACCTTCGGATTTGGCCAGAGGACCCACCAAGACGCCGGTGGCTACGGGCCGAACGCTGTCTTTCACTGGCTGTGCCATCCGCTCGTCATTCGACTCCGTCTCCTATTGGGTGACTGACAAGACACCGTTTCAAGGATGCATGCAACCTCATCACCCATTACAATTCCTCGGCATTGGTAGTTGTCTTGGTAAAGAATGATTTGGAAGCGTTGTTGGTGTTGCTTACCCTGTTGGGCCCCAACACTCAACCGTTCTGGGATCTGGTTGTTGCCCGACTCCAGATGGTAGGCAGCGACGTCGTCCACGAAATCATGACCGATGATGCTGTTCCCTTCGATTGAAAGATTCACAGCACAACAGGGTTTGGTGAAAGGTGCTTGATGCATGCATGACAAGAACCTCTAGCCAACTCGTAAAGAGTCTATTATAAAACTGTAGTTCAAAATCTTTACGGAAATTCTCTCCTACTCTTGCACTAAGCTTCTAACTTTCCCCGAACCTCGAGCATAGCTATATTACTCGTCTCACCTACAACTCTCTTGATAACCAGAACCAGCTCATCCAACGCTGCAAGCATCTGCAAAAAAGCGTTCAACATCACCACATACCTCCTCAAACCCTCATCGTCGACATCATCTCTCCCGTGCACACCGCTGCCGCCTACTCCCTCCTGGAGATGTTCTCTAGCAAATTCTATAGCTTTGGCAAACAATGGCGTGGGTAGTATAGCCGGAAGCGCATCATCAGTTTGTAGCGCTTGCTGAACTACCGTGAGGACTGCCATGATCTCAGCTATCACATCTTCCTCTGTGGCGCCCGTCGATGTGATGATCCAGGACCGCTGTGTTTTTGACAGCCTGGTTGTATATACCAAGAGCTGAGCAATAGCCTGATGCAAAAGCATGCAGAGCTGGCAGACTTGGCTGAGCGTATCCGTATCAAAGTTAGAAGTTGAGAATTCAAATACCGTTAGCTGGATCGGCCCTGAAGCAGATAAGAGGGCTTCTAGAGCTGCCAAAACTTCTTCCTCGGCCACATTGCGTAGATCTGTTGCAGGATCCTTCCAGTTCGATGCAAAAAGAGCATACTGGTCTCGGATGCTGACCAGGCTGTCGCTAAGTAGGCCGCGATAATGATGGTTTGCAGAGGGCGGTTTCGGAATAAAATTGGCGATAAATGTTGCACTCAAACCCACAAGAACGAGAACAAGGCGTCTCCAGAAGACCTCATACCCCCTGCCAGGATTACCATAGGGTTCCTCATGCATATCAATCCAGCTATAAATAGCAACGAGGTACGCGGTTATCCCCATCATAATTCCTGCAGGCATTAAAGCAGGAGAGGAGAAGAGCCGCCACCACATAAATATGACGATGACGAAAGCCATAATAGCAGCTTCTCCATATGGAGATCCTGAACCGCTACCGGAACCAATATACCATGCAGCCATGCCAACAATACCGCCAACTATGGTGCCGATGACCCTCACAACAATTCCATATACAACATCTGCTGTGTATGGAAGTAGAGTCAGTTGTGCCATGATGACAGCCCATAGTCCATTTTCACGATAAAAGAAGCCTGCGCTGGGAGGAATGACAGCCGGTATAGAGAGAGCAATTGACATTATCGCCATTCGAATAGCAAACGTTCCTTCAGCGTTTCCGAGCCAATGTGCTGTATCCAGGAGGACCTGGCTAACTCGACTCCTCCTGCGGCTGTTGGGTGTTCTCATTGAGGCGAGTTCTGCTCGGCTGGACTTGATATCCTGGTGTGCATGAGACCTTCCTGGTGGGCGGGCATACGCTGAAGAGGCCGGCGAGATGCGAGTAGTTACCGCATCGCCGATGTCTGCAGCCGGCGTATCTTCCGAGTATTCCGTGGTAGACATCCACCCGAATAGTGACGCCAATCGAGTTGGCAGCCAGAGTCGTTGGGAAGTCCGAATCGTCTCCAATTCGATAATTCTTGACAGGAGTTGTTCGAGCGCATCCGCCAGTTGGGATAGCCTCTCTTGAACGAGCAGCCCCATCATGAGGTGGGTCAATCCTGGAAAGGTACTGGAATCAACCTTCAAGAACCCGTCGTCGTTGAAAATAGAATAAGGCGACTTTAAAAAGGAACCAGAGGTCGATGCTTTGAAAGCCTCGAGTTGTGCTCTTAGTCTTTCCAGTGCAGCACTGTGTTTCTCTAGCATGTCTGCGTGGCTAGGGCTCTCTTTGAAAGCGTTTGCGTTTAGCAAGGCTTCAATAATGGCTTTGAGTGACTCTTTGCATGCCTCAATTAGATACTGGGCAGGATCTGATGACACCTGGAGACTCTGGCCTGCTTGCTCAGCTTTTCCCAAGGAATTGGAAGTCATGTGAAAGTAGGCTTCTCGGTTCAGCTGATGTCGTCCAGTTTCAAAGACTGTTTGGCTATCTTGGATGTTGTCTGTAGTTGGGAAAACAGCCATCGCTTGCCTGGACCTGTCTTTATGCACTTCTGCCTGTCTGTGTATCTCAAGCAGACTAGTAAACTCAACGGTGAGCAGTCGTAGAGGCTCAATCAGCTTGATCATGTCGTCCGAGCTCCACCGTCCAATGGAGAAATCGATAGGGAGGAATGTAGTGATTGGATTCACTCGCATCCATGCCGTTAAGAGTTTGAGCTTTGCTCCAGTCAACGTCTCGGTGCTCATTCTTAGGCCAGGGTGTTTTAGTCCAAGTAGACAAGCATCTAAAAATGCCGGCATTGGTGCGAGCAGGTCTTTGAAGAGGTCGAGCGCTTCAGATGCGGAAGATGTTGGAAATATAAGTATACTGCACACCAAGGCAATACCTTCGGCGATAGCGCAGGGTAAGACCAAAGGCCTAGCGACGTTTCCGTTGAAGCTCGGGAGAAGCGGCGCCTGGGTGAGGAAAACCGCGCTGACGATACAACCCATCATCTGCGTAAGCCTGAGTTTGGGAGCTGCGACTCGTAGACGAGCCTGAAGATTTGTCAGTATTTCTCGTTTTGTTTCGCTTGCTGCTGGTCGTCTAACTCACAATCAAGTATAGATATAAACAAATCATGCAAAAATATATCGCCGTCACACTGGTGTGCAGCATAAAGCCATTGTACAGTTTGATCTTCACAAATGTGATGGAGTCACTAGCGTTTTGAGACACGGCCATTTGCTGAAGCTCAGCAAGTCGAGATTGTGTGTCCGCATCCGATCGAGTCGCCAGGGCAGCTTTCATGGTAATTAGACCCCAAGCCCAGGCGGTTGTGACACCTAGCATCACAGTGATAGCAGCGACCAGGTGCATGAAGACTGTGCCCGATGGCGGTGCGAGCCATAGTACAATGCTGGACTCAGTCAGTAAAGCCAGGAGAAAAACGACCAAGGACCGAGGTTCGGATGTTGGACGACCTCGCAGCTACCTACCATCCAAGAAAAGACGCCTGGCCCATTTCATTTTGGATCGGGTTGATGTAGATAAAGATGGTCATGATCCACATAGCAAGCGAGCATCTGAGCAGCCGTTTAAGGTCTTTAGCATTGAAATGGTCGAGCCATGGGGGAAGCTTTCGACGCGGCCTCGATGTCCGATTTGCGTTAATGAAATAGGGATTCTGCAATGTTTCGGGCGCCACCTCCGCAGATTTGGTCTTGTGCTTCTCTTCTCTCGGTTCATCGCCGCTGGGAGTAGCTGCTGGGTTGGTATCAGACATGGTGACGGCTCTCGGAGAATGGGGTGTGTGGTCAAGTTGACGATCGCCGGCCCTTGCCCAGTCCTGCTTCACTAGAGTCGTGGATGCGTAGAGAGTGATGCGTGGTGTTGAAGAGAGTTGTGTGAATGTGTCCCAGATCTAATCTCTATTATGTACGCAGGACTAAGTACCGTTGATGCAGTTTGACTAGAGTGCCAGGCATTAGAGAATTGCAAAGCAGGGAGCGAAGGCGATCATCTAGGACATTACCAGGAGGCTCCCCACGGGATGCCATCAGGTTAGACCAAGTAGGTTGGCATTTGCCTCGCTAACGAGCCAGGTAATAACAGTCCGTCAGATTTGATGATGGCTCGGGATGTTCTGTAATCATGTGCAGGGCATATCTGGAACCTGATTGGGAGGCGTTTACCCACCCACCTTTCTCCACGACCATCAAATTTGATATTGGTAGCGGCCGACCGTGCATGGCAGGGATGCGTTTGTCGGATTATGTGATGAATGCCGACTCGGGACAGATTACACATACCTGTGTGGTTACTGCCGAGGACCCATGGAGTGGCGTATTTCTTCGACCTGCAACGCTAAGCTGGGGGCAATTTCGTCCTTATGGATTTCTTGTAACTTTGAAGGAGCTGCTCAGTAAGCATTGCGGGGAGCAAATCGCCAATTCTTGCCCCGTTCAGGCAAATCCACCAACACCAACTTGTATCACAAGTCGGTATTACTTAGACTCTCTCAGGATGAGAGACTGGTGATGTGAAATGGGGCACTTTGTTGGTTATTGATGAGAGTGATAAACAGCTGAGACGAAAAAATGCGCGAATGGTCAATATGAGATGAACTGGTGGATCAAATAATAGACCGACCCTAGAATGACATCGAAGCACTGGTAGGGCGAGGTGCGTCAGAGAGGCCACCGAGAGCATGATGGCCGACAAAGAGCAATTGGTGACAAATACAGGACACATAAACCAATGAAGACCCATTAGACTGCACAATTTAATTTTCTACATAGTAAACCTGCTAAGTTGGTGCCCTAGTAATGTATTTGGCTCGCTCGACGTGCAAAACATTTTGCTCAGGACCTTGATTTCCATCTCGTCACCACCGCTTCCCTCTCCTCTGGAGTAGCCCATCGAAAATCGTCTAGACCTTGTCTTAGTCTGATCAACATGATTTCACTTTTTAGTTTAGTGAGATGATGCTTTGACACCTCCTTCTCGATACCCTTGAGCGTGTAGCCTGGAACGGCAAATATTGCTGTGCCGTATTAGCATCCTGATCTGTTCGTGGTGTGTGATACTTGATGAGAGGCACAAGATGCAAAAAAGAATACTCACCGGCGCCGAGGTTGTACGCGAACCCTCTCGCACCGCGTAAAATGCCTTTGAGGAGCCCCTTTGCACCCTCATCTCGCACATTTTCGTACGGCTTCATGACAACGCCGCTGAACGCATCCCAGAATCCCAGAACAAATTCTTTCCCTGCTGTCTGGAGACCACTTCCCAATCCTGTAATCTCATCACGCCGTCGCACCTCTGTCGCACCGAAGCTATATGAGGGATAGTTATGGAAGCCATTGGCGATGTTGTAGAAAAACGCTACAGGTGCCTTCAGACCTGTCTTGGTTATATCAGCGGCGAACCGTCCCGTGACGCGCGTGATATAGTAAGCATTTCCATGCTTGCCCTGTTCCTGTGCTCGCCAAGCCGCTTTCCGCTTCTCGTAAGCCGTTGGTGCTCGCTGGAACTTAGCAACGTTAGGTTCAGCAGTGTGAAGCGACTTGGTGGCCAGTTTATGAGCGATAGTTTCCATCTCAACAGAAGTTAGGGGATTAGAGTGCAAAAAGTCTTTGAGGATGCCGTCGTGGGAATTTCCCTGGTTACTTAGCTGTGCCAATGCTTCCACATCTTCATCAATGATAGCCGCTGCTGAGGAAGACGGCTGACTTGTTTTGCCCACGGGTGCAAGCTGTCCAGGCCGCCCTTTCAAGCGGCTGGAATAGCCACTCGCTGCTGTACCCACGGCCGTGAAAAATCCCGACACAGCGGCTACAGCGCCGATTATTGGGTGTTCGGCACCTTCGTTGACATACCAGTGCTTGTGTTGAATGAGCTCGCTGTCATTTGGTTGGATCAAGCCTTTATCGAGGAGGCATGACATGGCAAACCCGCTGAGGCGAATACCAGTGGACTTATATCGCCAGACTGCCAGCCTGTCTGGACATAAATCACACCGGAGGTCGTCAATGCCTAGTCGATCGAAGAAATCCGCAGCTGCCGTGCTCGCTCCGTTTTCCTGTGTGATGGTGTGTGACATTTTCTGCGCCGCTTCACCAACCACCGGCTTGAGTGCAAACAAGATGCTGGCGGCCAGTGTTTCTGCTGTCATCTCCTTGAAAGGGACTGGCGTTGGACCGGCGCCTGCTCGAGCTACCATCTGGCCCCAGAAGGGCTGGTCACCAAAGAAAGGCACAACTACAGTTGGCCGCCCAGCAGCAATACCAGCCGCTGTGGTTCCAGCACCCCCGTGATGGACAACAGCAGAAACACGCTGAAAGAGCCAGTCATGTGGGCAGTTGCCAATGAGGTATATATTCTCGGGAATGTCAGCAGGTTTGCCGCCTATCGTCCCCCAACCATGGGAGACGATAGCACGGACCTTTGCAATCTTGACTGCATTGAAAATCAGTTCGGTGAGAGCTTGTGGGTTCTCAATGATTATAGACCCAAACCCGATGTATACAGGATGCCTCCCTTTCTCCAGAAATGCAGTTAGATCCGGAGGAGGGGTGTAAGAGGATGCCAAGGGCAGAAAAGAAAAGCCAGTGATATTTATATGGGGAGCCCAATCGAACGGCTTTGGGATTAGAGATTGAGACCAGAGATAGCTGAAAGGTACGCGGAGTCGAGAGAGAAGCTGATATCCCCACATTGGACTGATGGGATCAAGGCGCAAGACCTTGGTGCGTAGCTTATTGATCAAATCCCCAAGCCTGAAATGGAAGTGCATTGTTAGCGATAAAGATAGTAAGTGTAGGATATCCTGGGAAACATACCCTTGCCAGGTCAATAGCTCTAGCATCATAAATGAGAGGTAGTTGGCAATTGCTGCGTTGGCGTCCCCATAGCTCATAGCAGCTAAGGGATGAGAGAATATTTCTGTGGGCGACCACGGCATAGTGAAGACCATATGCAACGGAATGCCTAGCTTTTCGGCGCAATGAATATGAGCCATAGAAGGGGGGTTGGCAATGATAGCATCGGCGATAAAGAGGTCTTTTGGCATCTGCACATCAGCCGCCTTTATCGGCTCTGTCCCCATCCCATCGCCAGCCTCAATACAGCTCCGCCATGCGCCATGCATGATCTCCCACATCTCCTTCCGCCTCTTACCAACGTCACCGTCTTTGACGCTTTTGCGGCTCGGTAGTAGGCCTGGATTCTTGACCATGTAAGCCATGAGGGCTTCAGGATCGCCGCCAATGCTGAAGAATTCCACGCCTTGTTCTTCAACAAAGTCCTTGAAGATAGGGTGCGTGCAAATACGCACGCGGTGGTTGAATGGCGGTCTAGACAGCAGCTGGGCAATGGGGACGAAAGGCTGAACATCGCCCCGGGAGCCAACAACATGAATGGCGATGTTGAGACGCGGATTGCCTGTCAGACCATCATCGACAGCTGGGACAGCGATGCTGCACGCTCTTGGCCGCTTAGGTGGATCGGCAGCTGCCACATCTCCGCCAAACTTCGACTGGAACTGCTGGCACCATGCCGTGAGCATCTGTGGGCTGTTGTGAAATCGAACATCGACGCGGCCTTCATCGTCGACGTTTCCAGATGGCGCATGGTTGGGGTTCGCATTGTCTAGAGCGATGTGGCCAAGTCCATCGGACTTGATCCCTCTCAGTGGCATCTTCTCTAGCAGGACAGAATTTGACGAATAAAGCGTAGCGGTTAATCAACTCGGCTGGACAAGTGATGCCCACTGTCCTTGGCATGTGATTTGGGTGCCGTTTATATGCATGGCACCGCGAACCATCCTAATATATGGAGCACCATCACTCAGGCCCTGGAGCGTTTAACTCATTAGTCACTGTAAGACGCCGTCATGTTTTGATGAGTGATCATTAATACGAGCTGCCACACTACAGTGATACCTTGTGGGTCAGCCCAACTGCTTATGCAGGCTCGTGTCGGACCGTGAGTAAGCCAATATCATGCTCAAGGCATCTAGCGTGAGGAGCTGTTATTGGCGTGTGGACGCCTATTAAAACTTGCAAGACCAGCTCCGCTGTATTAATATGCCAATCGTGTCTGCTGCATCACATCCATTGAGTAGATCCCCATAGTCATAGTCGCTATGGCTAAGCAATCAATATCCAGCAACAATGGTCCTGTCAGCCGAATCCGCGGCGTTTCCATTTCCCTCATCAATGCAAATCCTCAATTGGGCGTATGGCAGGCTGCAGGCACAGCCATAGCTCAGGCACCAACCCTCGGAGAGCTCCGTGACTCTGAATCGGGAGGCACCAATATTGCTTTCAACGCTCAAGGTCACTCAGCTCGATTTGCCGTGCAAGAGCCCGACGGCGAGTTGGCGTTGGCGACGTCCAATGCGAAGCGGCCAATCTTTTCAACCTCTATATTCAACGAGGTGCTGGTCGATACGATCGAAAGTCCCACAGAAGCCATCACACGCGGAGCACCTGTCAGGCCGTTAGAGGAGGATCGTCGCCACGGCCACCACCGGCGACGCAGTCTGTATGAGCGGCACAAAGGTGATGCGAAGGAGAGATGGAAAATGACGCTGTCTCACGGGTTGAATGCCTTTTGGAAGTTCTTCAAAACACCTTCTGGCTTCCTTATTAGTATTTATTTTGTCAACATTGTTGTAAGTTCAGAAGCATTAATCGCTGAGACTTGAATATATTACTGACATAGATATGCAGGCTTGGGGAGTAAGTTTATGGCATACATCGGACAACGAGATTCGTCACTCATAGCTAACATTTACAGGCCATGCTCTTCTTCCTTCTCCTCAAGGCTGCTCCAGCCATGAATCACCCCAGCGCTGACGATGATGACTCGCCCCGCAAGAAATGGCTGGAAATTGACAGTCAGATCCTCAACGCCCTCTTTTGTGTAACCGGTTTTGGCCTCGCGCCCTGGCGCTTCCGTGATCTGTACCTATTTGTGGGCGCTGTTCGCTTCAAGAACCGAACCGCAATGAGAAGGCTGGCCGAGCAGAACAAATCCTGGTTCCGTCCGCCGCCGACTTGGCTGGATGAAAATGAGAGAGAGGCGGTGACAGTAATGAAGTCAGATGCTATTGTACACACCACAACTTTCACGGGCGAGAAGGCACCACCAACTCCACTGTGGAAATTGGGTTTTGCCATCTGGATGATGGTGCTGAACACGCTTCTGCAAGCCATCCTATGCTACTACATGTGGGGATATAATAGGATTGACAGACCTGTAAGTCCGCTTGAGACCCTTATTGTACAAAGCTGACAGATGAACTATCAGATATGGGCTACTGGGACTTTCATTGCCTGCGGGTGCTGTGTCGCGATGTTTGCGGGCCTGATGTCGTGGTGGGAAGGACGTAAAGTGAAGAAGATTGAAGGACCACTGGTAGAAATCGTCGATGGAGCAGTTTGAGATTCTGAATAATTTTAAAAAGAATAAGACTGACAGACTCCCCATGATAGTGGTTTGTATTCCATAATTGACTGCCATTACTATGGCCAGCAGATTGTTCTCGCGAACTAAGGTGCGCTGTTCGTTATGCTTGAGAAGGACTATTCACAAATCGAGAAACCTCGCTTCTAGTGCATGGTAGCCCAGAAAACTGTATAGTTATAATCTATGTGTATAGAAAGTCTCAAGTCTTCAACAGAAGCCTAAAAATCCACGGACATATCTTAGCACCCGGTATGACCTGTTCTTCAAGCCATGTCGAACATCATCTACGGTTTTCAGGGAAGGGAAAGGAAGGAAACACGTATTCAGCCTGTATTACCAGCATGTCCTCAGTGGGTCATAGTACATTATACTAAATGCACTCAGCAGCTCTTGTCCCGTTGAGGATAATCAGTGTGTGTGAAGAGGCCTGATTAAGAATCCGGAAAGACGACTATCCTTCAGTTAGATTTAAAAGTAGTGCAAACGTCTGGCACCGGAATTCTGACCAGACTTTGACACACCTGAACGGAATGGAACTCTGCGGTTATCACATTCGTAACTGCAGTACTAATGATGACGGGGATGATTATAAATAACTTCGAAGATACGTTAATATGATACCCTAAGTTTCGGTGTGTTTACTAAGACTGCTAGTATGACGATCCGTATATGCTAGTCGGCTGGCTTCGTCAGATCACCCACCGAGCAGTCACACCGCCATGTGAACCCTGCGAAATGATTCCTACACAATAAAAACATAGTTACAAACAGGCACCTCGAGTCCGGCTTCGGGGATGTCGTGATTGGTGGTGGTTCCTCCTCATGACCATCGCTGTGAATAGGAGGTGACTCCTCGCATACCAAAGTCTGAAGGCAAGCTAGGCCGGCGACAGCCCCGGTTACGGATGGTAGGCTCGAATGATCACGTTCCATCCCAGCCTCAGTCTTATGACTCGTCAGCATGAACACCGTTGTGGCGATGTAGAGATGATCAGGACATCCCTGAAAAAACAAGCATGCTGTGTCGATGCCGATGGATTGGCGGACAGACTATATCACTACCAAGGGACGTGGCGAAGGCTGCAGTAGCGTGATGGGAGGCGGTACTGAGGTTCTGATCCTCCTGTTCCAGATCAGGCATACCTCTGAGGCAGATATGTTGTCGTCACGTAGCGCTTTGCGTCGCAGCGCTTTGCATCATAGCACAAGTAGGGGAGCTTGCCTGCAAAAAAATGCTCCTCCACGTGAGAGCCAATAGACAACATGTGAAAGTTAACCACAAGAAAGGATGTTTGCACACGCCCACATGAGGGCGTATAGGCTTATTGAACAGCCCGGCACTAGCGTGTTTTGGGGTAGTACTTATGCATAGAAGCGAAAAGGTTTGCTTGCTGCAATAGGATTCCAGATGAGTATGTTTGATGGAGATGAACGTAAAAGAAAGTTTCTCTCTGTATCCTCGTATCAGGTCTGATTATTGAGGATTCCGATTCCACCTTATTAGCTGAGTAATAATTCGACAGGCTACTTAATAATAGTTCTGAGTATTTATTTCCGGTACAGATATTAATAAACCCCCGCTGCAATAGCCAGATTAATCCACTCGACACGAGCTCATCGTCTACTTTGTAGTTTGCTGATCTGCTGCCGCCTTTCCGTGCCGATCAAAGTTCTAGGCCCAGTACTGCCCAAAGCTCCTTCGGAAGACCCCCGCTATTCTGACTTTGTGGCTTATATGCTCACTTTACCTGGCGTTGATGTGGAGCCTATCCAACAACTAATCGTGCTGGTGGCATATGCAAATGCAGCATCTGAGTAATCTGACTGACCATAACCACGTATGTATTATTCTATGATCCACGAGCCTGATCGACGAAATCATTACCAAGCAATCGAACATGATCCTGCCTACTGCTAATAGCAATTATGAAAATAAGCAATGTCGGATTTGATGTGTTGTGATTACACTACACATTGATATGTTGCAATGGATTACAGGAGACACTCAAGTATAAGAACACTCTCTGCCACTTCTCACAGTTCAATTCATTATCACCAACCTCTCCGCTACAACTTATATTCCTAATCAAGAACGTCCTTTTCCAAACTAATTATGAAGCTGTCAACCTTCCTCGTGTGCCTTGCGGCTACCGGGTGAGTTATTAGGGTTACAGCACTTTTTCTCAAGCACTGACATCGAAACCTAGTGCCCTTGCCGGGAAGAACTGCAAGTGCCAAGATCCTTCCGGAACTGGTCCTCAGTGGAAGGACCTGACCAAGAAGGTCTGTGGAGAACAACTCTCAGGCGAGAGCATGATTTGCCAGGCAAATAAGAAGTACCACGGAGACCAGCACCACCAGGCGAGACTACATCTAGAACTGGCATCGGTATACGGAGATTGACCATGTCAAAGTGCTCGAGCTCTCTGGGATGTATTGACGGTGGAGCTTTCAACAACTGTTGCAAGCAGCTTGGAGTAACTGGAGCTTACTGCTGGAACTAAATATAAGGTCCCTTGTTAGGAAGGGGATATTGTTAACCTGGAAAAGTACTACAAACACGCTTATTTATAAATTTTATATTGGGTGTCCAAAACTTGCGCCCAGGAACAAAGTAGCTAGAGCTCTGCCTCTGAGCTTCCCTTTCGAGTTGCACAATCTTTGGACTATTGGGTAGGCTTTTCTTAAAAACTCCGCCCAAAAGGGTGAACTGGACCAGCGCGTAGAAATTCTTGTTCAATGTGATCAGGTTAACATTACTAGGGCTGCTATCCTGTTTGGTTGAGAATAGAACGATTATTCTAGCTGACGGGGGTGTGGAGGACTATTTGCCAGGTACGGTTTTGGCGGTGAAATCATGTCGCTAGTGCTGAGACCCCGTTCTATAGGGTCGTTAGATTTTCTGGCTGCTGAGGGATTAGGCGACACTGCATGGGTGAAGATAAGGCTAATGCCTGCGTCTTGGAATAGACGAATCCTGGAGAGGCCGAATGACGGTTCCCACCCCGGCTAATAACCGAGGTAGGGCTGGCCCTCTCGCTACTCTCTCGCTAGCCTGTACTGGCCTGTCCTGCGCTGGCCGGGTCACCTGGTGCTCTTGGATATGGGGCTTTAAATGCAGTACTGTCCTTATTATATCCCGTGGTTTCCCTAGGGCTACTCAAGATGTTCCTCAATGCGAATTTGTTCCATATCACAACCAACGTTGCCCCAATTTTGAGAAAGTTGGGCATTTCCGCCGCCACATGAAGGCCCCAATGCGCGCAATATGTGGCTGACCGAGGTAGAAGATACCTGCGAACATGAGAAGAGTAGAATCAACGAAGGAGTCTTTATTTGTCCAACCAGTTCCAGAGCATTTTGAGCTACAGTTCAAGCCGCCAGCTGTGTCGCTAACATTTCAAGGCTTCTTGGGCATTAAGATCAATCCTCTAACCTGTCTATGTCGTGAAGTGCAACTTGTGCCGGACTTCCGTATAGGAGACTGGCAGCACCAAATATAGAATAATTTATCATATTATTAAGGTCTAAATAAAGCATTCAAGTTAGACTCTAACTGCAACTGATAGATAGACTCAGGTATCTAAATATTTATAGATATCTAGATATACCTACTAATTAATTTTATTAAAATATATTTTCTAATTAATTTAAATAAAATATTTATTTATTTAATATATTTTAGCAGCAGAAAGAAACAGAAAATAACACCCAACTTATTAACTTACCCTAGGGGAAATACACAGAGAGTCGTCGTACAGGCGTCTTAGCCGGTCAGCCCGAAGCTGTACCAGATTACATATATAAGGTCGGATCAATCTGAGGCTTATATCTCCTGATAGGGAAGCATCTCATAAGATAGAATATCGGGTCGGTCGCAGGAAAGTTCGCTGGCAAGGTATCAATGAGGCCTGCGGCAGCCCGATATCTAAGGGAGGTTGAAGACGGAGGTTGGACAGGGAACGTAGTAACGGCAAGAAGGTTCAAATAAATCTCTCAAAAATGAAGGCAATTAATTAATGGACTTCCTAGCAGCCTCGAGCCCTTCCGGCCTCTCTGACTTCTTGGAAAAATCTCTGAAAAATGAAAAGATGATGTTTTTCCCTTGTGACGGCACTGACCTCCCCTTTTAACCTTATCCGGGCCACCCTAGAGACATCCCCGCTAGCGACCAGCTAGCCCAAATGTTCCCAACCGCCTGTCACAACAGTAATGCGTAGTGAGTCAGGGTGATTGAGGTAACTAAGTTGTATTAATAGCTGAGTAGCTGCTTATGGTGAATATATACTACTCGGTCGTCTATATACTAATATGATCGGGCGTAATCACTTATACAGTAATTTTGATTACTGGTAATTAGAGGTGATTACTGAGTAATTGCGGTAATTGTGATTACTGGTGATTAGAGGTGATTACTAAGTAATCACGTATGGCTAAACTATGTTCCGTTCCGGGAGGCTGAGGAAAAAGTGGTGCTGCGCCCGGGACCTAATACAGGTTGCGGCCAAGCTGTGACACAACTGTAAATAAAAAGAGTTTATATTATAAAAGGTTTTAAACTTAATTAAATAAGTTAAAGAAGTAAGTAATGTAGCCTATTGTCTCCACTAGTTTATATTAGTATTAACTCTAATACTTTAAATAACCAGTACTTGCAGATACAGCCAAGTAATAAAGGAGTGAAATACCATGCTCGCTGGCGAGCGATAATCCATGGATGCCAAAGAGTTCCCACGCTGAATGCAAGGAGAAAGATCATAGCAGCTGCTCTTGACGGCTTGTAGTTGTAAAGATTGAACTTTTCGTCAGCTGTGACGGATTTAAGTAGTTGAAGGGGAGAACAGTGGCGGTAGCGGCTCGTGTAAAGATGGTGGATGCAGATAATGGAAGGATTGAGTTATTGGATCTACATCTGTTATTAAAAGAGCGTCCAGAAGCTGTACTTATACGTCTTCAAGTTGATACCAAAGCAGGGGCAATGATGGGGCTACGGGATTATCCCCACTTCGTCTCAAACCTCGCATCTCGCACTTCGCACTTCGCATTTCGGTACGTACCTTCACGACCCACAAGCTATTTGTGGTAAGGGGGTCTCCGGAGATCTCCCCACCTTTTGTGTCTGGGCCTTTTGCATGCGAGGAACAATCGATGCCGTCCACTTGTCCCCTGTCGCCGGAGAGTACACGTCATTCACGTAGCCACACGGTTCACTATAGAGACAGAAGTTGCCATTAGCCTTAGGAGGATTCAACCTTTCGTAACTAGCAAAAGATATGGATTTGATATAAGGGATGAGATTGTATCGTTCTTAGGACAAGTTGGCAAATACGGCTGGGGTGGCGAGCCAGTAGGACTATAGGAAAGCCTAAGGTTATATGAATTGGATTGCACTTTTATTTAACACTTGTAAAAGAGATCAGTTGCATTTAGGTCTGTTTGCATTATTTGTTCAGATTGTAGAATGAACAATACAAATTCCTGGCCATTTTAATTTCCTCCTTCTGTAACGGGCTGTGCCCGTAGGTGGCCTCGGGAACCCTCGGCCTTTCGTGGCCCACTTTTTACCTTTAAGCCACCATGGCGAGTATATTTATGGATGGACCTCCTCTACTCTCTTTCTCTTCTTCTTCTTTCCTTAAGTTTGGTATACTCTGTAGAGTGGCCTAGCTAGTTGCAATACACTACCTTGAGACCGTTACACCTTCCGATCTTGCCTATTCTCCAGGCCGTCAGGTTTCTTGTGCTAGCTGCTGCTGGAAGCCATGATAGGATGTAGGCCCTTAGATCAAGCATCAAGCTCCCTTGTATGCCTCAACCTCGATCTCAATTTGCATCTGGGGGAACTCCAGACGAGGCACAGCAATGGCTGTCCAGATGGGTCAGTGACCTGAAATGTGCTTCTTGAATTTCTCAAATGTGGAGTTGTACGAGGCCCCGATGTCGACGTGATAAGTGCAAATTGAGTCCATGTCTTCCTACCTGTGAAGGCCGACAGTTTAGAAGATACAATTAACATTTTCAAATGCGAGGTCCACCTGGCTCTTAACGTTATTAACATCTAGCTTGCTGGTATTATTCTAGCCTCCATGGCTAGAGCATTTGATAACATCTCCGAGCACAACTGCCCGCAAATAGTGGCAAAGGTCGCTATGCTTTTGACTAGAGCTGGTTTCATTGTGGTATTGTAGACTGGATATGTTGGCTTGGATGGAGCTTTTCTGAACAGGAGTCAGTCAATCAGTTCAGCAAGGTTCTTGAGGTAAATTACCAATAAATTTGGTTGAGTATGATTGTACTTAGTGGAATCATATAAACATAATTTAAAATACTTTGAACCACCTGCCGATACCACATTAAGGGTAGTCTATATATAGCGACGAGTACATCAATTTCTCGGGATTTGGCATTGACTCCAACTCGGAATTTGAATTTGTCTCCACCTCAGCATTTAGTTCTGCCCCCACCTCGACATCCACGCTTGACTACGATTTGATGTCTATTTTGCCTCCACCCGGGATTTCTTTTCATCTCCAATTCAGGATTCGGGATTTGTCATTCCCTCACCCGCCTCTTGACAGAGGGGCTTGCCTCAAAGGACACTAGTGTGTTGTGCTGTCGGCATCATCCCACGGCACATTGCAACTTATTTGTACTTATATATAGAAGACCGGGCTGCCACACCATCGGGTGATTCGATTGTTCTACTTGCCGTTACTACCATCACCACCACCCTTCCTCTGCCCACGTGGCGGTCGACCCAAGTCAACATGGTTCGTTTCCCGCTGCTCGTCCTTGCTGGTGTTTCATCCTGTCTGGAAGCAGCATGTGCCTCCTCCAAAGCCTCCAACGCCTGCTCGGCCGTGAGTCTCTCTCGTGCCCTCCCCGACAATGCCAAAGTCTTGTCAGCCGTCGCGGTTCCGGCCGGCGGTTCCTACGGAGAGGGCTCGGCTAACCTGGCGTACCCAACCAACCCGACCAACATGCCAGCTACCTGCACCGTCGTCGTCAATGTAACGACCTCGAAGACGTCCTCGCACCGATTTGGCCTCTTTATGCCCACGACCACGTGGAATCAGCGGTACCTGACCGTCGGTAACGGTGGCTTCTCCGGCGGTATCAATTGGCTCGACATGGGCGCTGGCCTGCAGTACGGCTTCGCTGTTGCGTCCACCGACATGGGCCACAATTCTTCCATGTTTGACATAACTTGGGCCTTGGGAGAAACGGAGAAGCGTCTCGACTTTGGCTTCCGCGCCACTCACGGTACCACAGTCATGGCTAAGAAACTAGTTGAATCCTTTTACGCCTCCAAGATCAAACACTCATACTACTCTGGATGCTCTACTGGCGGCCGCCAGGGTCTCAAGGAAGCCCAGCTGTATCCCGAAGACTTCGACGGCATGCTGATCGGTGCCCCGGCGTGGTGGACGTCCCATCTCCAGGCCTGGACTACCAAGCTGGGCATCTACAATCTGCCCGAGGGTGCGGCAAATCACATAGACGCCTCGCTATATCCAATCCTGGCCGCTGAAGCCGTTTCCCAGTGCGACGCCGCTGACGGCCTCAGCGACGGTATCATCAGTGCTCCCCACAAGTGCCTCTTCAATTTAAACAAGATGCTCTGCTCCGACTGCAAAACTAGCAATTGCCTCACGACCGAGCAAGCGCAGACGGTGAAGAACATCTATTCGGACTACGTCATCGGCGGCAAGCTCACCTTCCCCGGCCTCGAAATAGGTTCTGAGGGTCAATGGGGGGTTTCCATCTCCGGGTCGGAGCCTGCGTCTCTAGGCCTCCAGTACATTCAGTACATGCTGCTAGACAACCCCTCATGGCCATGGGAGAAATATAATGACTCCATAGTCGCCCTCGCCGATAAGAAGGATCCTGGCGATTGCACCGCTGACAACTACGCCGCCATGGCCGGCTACCGCGCTCGTGGCGGCAAGGTGCTCATGTACCACGGCATGGCTGACGCCCTCATTTCTACCGGAAGCTCTACGCACTTTTACGAGTCGGTCGCCACTACTCTGGGCGGCATGACCAAGCTCTCTAACTGGTTCCGCTTCTTCCTTGTGCCTGGACTGCAGCATTGTTCCGGCACTGCAGTCGATGCCCCCTGGTACTTCGCCGGTGGCAACCAGGCTGGCGCTATAGGCACGGGGGTGTTCTCGGTCCCCGGTTTCACTGACCCGAAGCACGATGCCATGATGGCACTCATGGATTGGGTTGAGAAGGGCACCCCAGTCGATCGCATCGTGGCCACCACATGGGTTAGAGCTACGGATCCGTCGTCTGGCGTTCTGAGGCAACGCCCCATCTGTCCTTATCCTAGCCATGCCGCCTACAGTGGCAAGGGTGATGTTAATGCAGCCACAAGCTGGGTTTGCAAGGAATGATGTTCAAGATCATGCCCTCCCCTGACCTAAAGGTGACTCCTTCTTCTTCTCTTTCCCAACCTCAACCGGAGCCCATGTACCAGTCGTCCTGTCGAATCCGTGGGATTAATAATAATTAAGATCACGAGGAGTCTGGATCAGTGCGATTGGAGCCATGGCCAAGGCCAAGCCATGTGCTTTTCGATGAGGTAGTGTGACTACAAGTCATCGGCAACGAGCCTGCGACAACATATTTTAAAAATCTCAAACCTCTCAATGTCGCATTGCGTACCCTTCTCGATCTGGGAGACTTCGAGGCCGAAATTATCAGTCACTCCAGTGCTCTTGACACCACATTGACTGATCGCTTCAACCAGATTGCCGGCGGCATATCTGTCCAGCTCGGTTTTTTTGGAATGTAAGTAGATCAATTTAAGATAATTTTGTGCCCATCCTGTATTTTCTTCAAACCCTACTTCGCAATGAACAACAATTATAAAATCCACCCACATCCTATTGCTCTGTTTAATTATACAGTAGCCTACGTATAGTCCTAGTTATTAGAAACCTATAGGAAGTGATGAGCAAAGCAACGTGAGTGTTTAACCTTCAGCTTAATACCAAATGCTACATAGAGAGAGCATCACTAGTACAGTGAATACGGCTTGTTTGACGACCCCTGTTTTTTTAGGGCTAATACCCATTGTTCTGATAATCATGAACTTAACGTTATGTAGCAGACTGACTTGACATGCTAGCTCGACTAAAAAAACTATCAATGATTAATCTGCTACCCTATCCCTTTGACTGTCATAAGGCTACACCTACGTACCGCGCCCCACGTAGCCCCCGTCAAGGACAAGGTACATAAAATGACTTTGATCTGCCCCAAAATCAGCCCAGTAGCGGAAAGTGTGGTGTGTCTCTTTATAGGTCTGAGGATTGGTTAGACTTCTATTACGTGAGAAATGGTGTGCGCGTCTCGCCCAAACCAGGCTTCGCAAACAATTGGCCGGTCACCTTTTTTGCCCAAAACTGATCACAGTCACACTTAAAATCTGGTACGGGCAGCATACAGAATAGTCGCATACGGATCAGCACCTTATCTTATCAAATACACTTAATACAGCCAGACAACAGCTATATAACCCACTGGCACGCCGGCTCGACGACATTATAGTAAAAGGAGGTAAAATTATCTGAAGCAACTTTACTCTGTTTCCCTGCCTAGACAGTCGGATGGCGATGATAAATTGCGATTACATTCCGCATAATGATTAAAAAGAAGAGCATAAAAGGCCTTTGGGGTCTCCGACTAGTTATACAGTCTCATAACTCAACAATCAAGACACTGTTCACGTTAATCTCAAGAATGATACTGCTAACGCTTACATAAGGAGGCATATCCGAACTGAGATATAGGAGTCATGTGACAAGAGCTTTTGTCAGACACGTGACTAGCGGCGAGACAGTCGTACGGTCTGATGCAGGGGTCTAATGCACTAGAAAGATGATAATGATGTATCCCGTGAATCAGGAAATAGTCAATTGGATCAGCTAGGAAGCCTGTGGCCCTCTAATCTCTATGTCTTGTGTGTTCTCCTTGATCAACTGGTCGGGCGAGGGATTTCCGAGTTACCCACCCGATCCCGGGTTGTGGTCTGAGGCATCTGCCCGGCCGGAACCTTCCGTCTGACAGCTTTATTTTGCTAGTTCTCCTCCTTCTCCTTCTCCAGCACCCCTTGTAGTCCGTCAAAGCAAGCCACGCCATACATGCCAGGATCAAAGGCCGCTACGCAGTCTTCGAACAAGCATGCGGGCTTATTTCCCACCTCGATTTTTGCTATAGCTTTCAAACCATCGCAGTAGCCGAGCCGTGGCCACGTCTCGCATATGCTTTTGATGTCTTCTGGGTTCATAAACTTGGTGCTCAGCCCCATGAGGTCTTGGCCCGCCCCCAAAGTTACTAGGGCACCAGTAAGGCGTACTCGGGAACTGAAATCCCGAAATTCTATGGTATGGCGCGCAATGGCCTCGCACACCTCGTCCGCCCAAAATGTCATAGCCTCGGCCGTGCGCGAACCCTGACATTCTTCCACAACCTGGGCTGTCTGATCCAGAAGCCACTGGCGGGCTTTGATGGCCCCCCACAATTCGAGGGACAGCGGACTCTTCTGCGCACTCGGGTTAAAGCCGATCTCATGCAGAGCGCAGGCCAAGAAGATGAGCTCCTTGTCGAAACCTAGTTCCTGCGCCTTGTCGCCCGTATCCCAGCCGGCGTAATTTGCTATGCCGATGGCGAAAGCATATGTTCGAAATGAGTGGTGGGCAGCCCAAGCTGGCAGAATCTTGCGCACAAATTCCTCTGCGCGCTTTGCGAGTGATGTATTGGGGAAATCGAAAAACGACGCGCCGAGGGCCGACGGTGTAGGGAGATTGAGTGACGCCAAGTGACCGACGAGCGGCGCGGGTATGGAAGCTGGGCTAGGGAGCATTCTGAAGACACGAGACGTGAACAAACGAGCGTGGGCAGAGTGGGACAGGATAGGACAGAATTGAATAAGATGAAACAGAGTACAATAACAAGCAAGAAGAATGGACTGCAGTTTCGGGCGGATGGCCTGTGCCTGACCTTTCGATTAAATACGACCTGAGATTAGGCAAAATAAAAAAAAATAAAAAATAAAAATAGAGAACTTCTCCGTTTTGGTTCGGCTATCGGTTTGCAATACGTCATGATTGTTCGATTGCCTACTTGATAAAAGAAGTTCTTGGAAATGGGTCGCGACGAATCCCGATATTGCGAGGTTAAAAACACATGTAGTAGGAAGAGCCCTGCTGCTTTCATGGCGTCAAAATCGGTCCCCGATAAAAGGGGGGGGGAAACTTATGCCTGTACATCGGTAAGGTATGTAAGGCGGGGGTGCCCCACCAGAATCCCGACGACGGGGCATATGATGTAAGGGGTGCCTTACCTGATAAGGAAGAGAGAAAGCCATCGGCAAGTTGATTGGCAGCAAAATGACGTACAGTCCTAAATCCCGAAGCTTAACAGACAGCTTGTATTGGACTGGACTGCTGCAGTACAGTGGAGCTGACTCAAACAACAGTGTCCACGGCTCGGAGGTCGTAGTCCATCAACCACTTCCAAATCGCCACGTGATTTTGAGAAGCCCGAAATGCCCTCGCTCGTAGTATCCATTCCATTCTACGCGCTTCGTTCCTGACTAAGATTTACTTCAGTACAATAGTATATAATCTTCTCTCGTACGTTAGGAGTTGGTCAGCTCTCCTGGTTACATAGACAGCTTCACTTTCAATCAGACACCAACTACCATGTCTCACCTCACCTACACTTCCTACGAAGGTTACGGCGAGAGAGTCAAGAAGAGCCTCTGGTATAGCCAGGCTGTTCGAGTCGGTGACATTATTGAGTGCTCCGGGCAGGGTAAGTTCCCAAACCTGTCGCCTATTTCCACAGCCCCTAACAATTGGCTCTTAGGTGGCTGGGACCGTGACACCGACAAGATCGACCCCAACATTGTTGTCCAGATCGAGAAGGCCTTCGAAAACGTTGACAGAACCCTGAAGCTCGCTGGAAGCCGCGGCTGGGAGGATGTTTTCTTCCTGCGCTCTCACCACCTGCCATGCAACCAGGAGGCTATGGAGACTATGGTCCGCTGCCTGAAGCAGTACTGCCCCAACCATCAGCCCGCCTGGACTGCTCTGGGAGTCCCGCGTCTGGCTTTCGATGACATGAGAGTTGAGATTGAGGTCCGCGCCCACATCAAGGACTAAATGCCTCGCACGTGTAAAATCAGAATAAAAGTCGCTAGCAAGTATGAAGGATGGGAAAACATAAATTTAACATTTTATATTCAGTCATTCAGACCACCTATACTCCTAACATATCCTCTCATCTGTGGTGTTCGTGACGGCCTGCGCGGAATCCTTCACACACTACGTAATGGAGCAGCAGCAGCAACCATGTACGACCCATGCACGACTACAAACGTTTTGATTCGCGTGACGGGAGACTCGATGAGATATTGGACCAAATTGTGGCATTTATGATATCCTCACCACATATTCTCAATTTGTCGTCCAGCTCACACTTGACTTTCACATTGTCCCATAGCAAAAGTTCCTCGCCCATGAGAGGCCATCAGGACCAATGCCGGATCAAAAGGCGCTGCGAAGCTTCTGCTGTCCTTTGCCACTGTTTATTGAATTTAGAGCATCTGATTCTGTTTCAGGGAGACATATTGATTGAGAATTCGCGAAAGCCTTTGTGTCAGTGGCCTGTTGGTCTGGCACGCAAACATCTGCGCCAGTACTTGCACCACCGCCACTGAGAGCAAGGCCGTGGACGTTTGAGTGAGGACCTCCCCGCTTGAATCTTCCAAATCCAAATAGACAAGTCGTGTCTGTTCATCAACTTGGATATATATCTCTTCCTCCCAAACTTGAAGGTACGGTAAGGTTAGCATCTATAGATAAGCCCTAAGCCTGGACCTATGGAACTCACTTGTGGCTGAATGTTCTCGCAACGATGAAGAAAGTCTGTCCAACCATTTCGATAGCAAAATGGTATATTCGTACGCCGCCATAGTCTGTTCTAGGGACCAAGTACCAAGCTTGGTCCTTGCGTAGAGCATGATGCCCATCTTAGACGGTACCTCGAAGATATTGGCGCAGTGTTTCAGAGCGGAGGCTACCTGAGGGTTCCTCTGCGGCAGAGGGCGGGAGAGTATGAGTTCCGCGGATTGGTTGACATCTGCTGAGCGTAGTACAGCAACGGTATCCGCGTCGAATACTTGCCTGATTCGTGCAAGATTCATTAGTCCTCCAACGATGCCGAGCAAGGACGGCTCGACAACGTCCTGTTGTGCAAACTCAAGCTCCCGGAGAGCGACGTCGCAGCGATCCATGGCAGCACTGTGAACAAATTAGCGAAATTCGGCCACTGTTGTCAGTTGTCCTCACGCAAACCAGGTCGAAGTGTGCTGCGATGCGGTATGTGCGTCGCAGGCCGCTCGCGGCCACAATTGTTGCAGGGAGTAGTCATGATAGAGTATGTAGATAATGATTATATAGATATTGGTTGCGCTTCTCAGCCAAGGCGGGGTCTCAGATGAGGTTGTGCTATCTTGCAACATCTGCACAGCTTGCCGCAGAGTCGGAATTTCGGGACAACGACAGTATAGGCCGTCGGCTGACTGCGACTGGGCGCAAGCACCAACACAACGCAGAAGAGATATTCGCCTACTGTCAGCCGCGATATCAATTTCAGTGCCAATAAGGAGTGTCTGCGTATAAAGCATGCATAATATGTGTGTCTCTATCTGGCAAACTGTTTCACTATTGCCGTAGTCGTTCTTGCGGGCAGTCCGATGAGAGACCAAGGCAGATCTTGACATGCATGATAAGGCATGGGCTCGAATAGCATTGATCGCGTGGGTTATATCGTCGGCCTGTTGTAACATTACAAACTCATTGATTAACAGCAAGGCGCAAAGTTGACTGGACGGGCTACTGTCAATCGTCGGGGCTTAGCAAGAGCAAGAAGAATGCGATCCCGCGCGGAGAGCGGGCACATGGACATTTGTCATGGCTGGAAGCAATGGCCATACCTTTGCGCGTCATTCTGAGTGCGGGAAGTTGGCGTCCGACTGCTCAAGCCATAGAGTTCGTCCACCAGCATCGCAAGACTGACGCTGTGAAGTGCAATCGCCGCATTTTCTTCACAGAGCGCCTGCGCCCCCAGAGAGAAAAGGGACAGACGGAAAGTCAAAGTCGAAGTTCCTGCGGATGCAAGACAGGATTGAAATCGAGCGAGGACGATTCGTTTGGCAGCCTCCGCATATCTTCTCATCACAGGCATGGAGAGCAGCCTAAGTGGAGGATAGCGAGTCCGGAGGTCCCTCAAATCTTCGGGTGTAAGGTATAGGTCCGATGCATCCTGACTGTTACATGAGCTTCGGACTCGTAGCGTCGCCCCGGAGCATTGCGATACACTCGATCTGCTTGTCTGAACATGCTCCATTTGCCGTAATTCGGCCCCGAGCCGGGTATTGAAGAGGAAATTGCGGAAGTCCCTGAGCGGATCGTGATGGGCATTGGAACGTAACTGTTCATCTGTACTTGCGCATGTTTAGAATGGCTAGCATGACGATACGCGTAGCTCGATCTGTCGGGAGGGAGGGCAAAGGATGAGGAGGAGGAACTGACAGATTTGAGAGTACTCAGGAGGCAAGGGGAAAGGTGGGGAGGCATCCTCGTCCGTTGCGGTTGCCTCAGGCGGGGTGCCGGAGATGGGCGATGGGACACTCTCATTCATGCTGCAAAATTCGCATCGGGACGATGTCTGACGCGTGCAGGCAAGAAATAGAGAATGGTGTAGACATTGGATCACGTAGCCAGTTGAGGCATGCACAAGAATGGGTCACCGTTGACCCTCTAACTTACTGTATATCCACATAATAACCGAGCCGCCCCGCTCTGGTTCCGGTAAATGAGAGTACCTTATCTGTAGACCGAAATCGGCCTAGTAGAGAGCCCATCGTGGGAAGCCACTCAGGCATACCAAGATAATCCGACCCGGCCTTCTCCATACCTACGGGACGGTAGGTACCCACATATCATAGGTACGTAAGCAGATTTGCGCCCACACTGGATGCAGCGTTCTTCCCCCATCGCAGTACTTTTGTCCTTGCTTATATCATCGGTACGACAGCAAGAAAACACCACAAGCAGTTCCGATGTCGATGCAAATATCTGCCCCTCCACAGGACCCTCGGCCGGACTCTCCGCAGGACTCTTCGCAGTACTCTCCGCAGAAGCCGGGTCCGCGGCAACCTAGTCGCAAGAAGTTTGCGGTCCCACCAGTGAAGCTGGCTTGTCTATCATGGTAATTTCCACAATACACGCCAATGACGCACGCACTGGAATGCGCTGTGGTGCATACGATTATTCGAAGCCAGGGCTGACGTGCTTAACTTAACATCATGTAGTCGAAATTCGCATTTGAGATGTAACGGGTCGCAGCCTTGTTACCGCGTACGTCATGTATTCATTCGTGTTTTCCCTTGAGATGAACCTGCTGATGATGATGGATCGATTGATAGTGCGGCACACGAGGACTGCAATGCTCCTACTCCCAGAGCCGCCGTGGAATGCCGTCGCGGACCGCTCAGGACGAGGACGAACGCGAAACCCACGATAGCGAGTGGGACCACATCTCTCCAGATTTTCAGCCCAGCGCCGATGTCTTCCTCCCGCCCCTCGACGTTGCCAATGGCTTGGACCATTTCGAATTCGACGGCACGCAAAGCGACGGGCTCGACGCCTTCTTCGCTTCCTTGTTTGCAACCCCGTCGTACCCGCAACCACCTCTATCCAACCACTCTGAGCCGTCGTCCGCCACCATTCAGCGCAACTTGCATATACTAAGAAAGTATCAGTGCGATTCTGATGTGTATATTGATCGCCCATGCTTATTTGGTATATAGTCTGACAATGGTTGACGTAGTCTTGACGCATATTACCATCTTATTCATCCATCCTTCCCAATACTTCCGAAATTGTCGAAACCCGATCGAGAAACAGACTCTACTCTAATTCAACCAACAGCCAGCCTGTTCTCTGCAGATGAATCCTTTGCAGACTACCAACCATCATCGCCCCTCATTTTGGCACTGTTGTCAATTCTAGTGCTGCTTCCTGATGCAGATTACGCCCTTGAAGCAGAAGGTGTCAACCAGGACCTGCGTTTTCGGTTTTCGCAATCCCTCGCCGAGTGTGCCTGCGAGAGCATCGAGATATACACAAGCAGAGCCGACCTAGATTCGCCGCCTCTTGACCCAGATCGTTCCGACGTATGGCTGCGCACTGATTTCCCCGACAAGCTTCAGATCCCGACAGCTCTATGCATATTGAGCGTACAGGCTTATCTTCATGGTGGAAATCTGCCAAAGATGCTTCTTCAGGCTGAGAGAGCCCTGGACTACTGCATGCAAATGTCATTGCACCAGTTTGTTGAGCAAGGTCCACAAGCAGAAGGCATCAGAAGAACTTGGTGGATGGCTGTATGTTGTGCCCCTCACTGCGGCTATCGCCCCAAAAACTGATCGCTATCCTTGATCCAGTACTTATGTTACTGCAATGCTTGCATTGTCAACTGCCAGGTACGTATGGCATTCTATCCAACTTGGCATAAATCCATGTATGCGACTTCTGTGTACGGGTTCGTGTGCTGACTGCCGCCTGTCAAGCCCCCAAAACAACTCAACAGTGTAGATTTCAAAACACCACATCCGGATGCTGGAGACTCTCGAGCTGTGTGACTTCCCTTGACTAATCTAAAATACAGGAGGAGCTGACCACGTTTACTTAGATCTGGAGACAGAATGTACGTGCTGAGGAGACGCTGCTTGCTGCGACGCTCTTCCTTGTTGCCCTGGTCAAAGGGTCTGGGCATCATCCAATGGCTGCAGCCACAGCGTTCCGTAGGAGTGCTGAAATGCTCGATGCAATCATAGATTCCCAGCTAGATGAGCACGCCGCTCTTTCCGTCACGTTCGCAGATGGCTCGATAAACGGTGCAGAGACAGCAAGCAAGTTTGCCATGCATCAGATCACGGCTATACGGCTAGCAAGGTATCTACCTCACTCTAGATGAAATTCGTCACCACGAAATGGAACCTAAAATTATAGCTAGCGCCAAGATCAAAGTCCATCGGTACTGCGCCTTTATGAATTCCTGTGGATTTCTCAAGGCTTTTGAGCATCTGCCCGAAGAACAAGCCGACAGTCCGACGACGAGTCATCTTTTAGCACAGCTGGCCAAACCGGTCCTCACCAGAGGTACTTCAGATCCGCGATCACACTTTTTCCCCTTCACAGAAGCCCAATCGCTTGAGACATGTCTCAAGTATGCAGGAGAAATCATTAGGCGCTTGGAGGTGGTACAAGGTCATATACAAGGTTGTCCTCACAATTGCCATTTTCTTTCGTCCCCAGCGGAACTCGACTTACTCCTTCTTAGTTCCATATTTCTTCTGTTCGACTGTTCAGTGCGCCTACACTATCATGATGGTTTATTCTGGGCAAGATCAGCCTGCAGAGGGACTTTCAGCCGGATCCGAAAACGATCTGCGAGAGCGATGCCTAAGAGGACTAAATGAAGCGTTGGTGCTTCTTCAACGATTCTGCGCACCATACGGCTCGGTCACAAAGGTATACGGTACGTTTCAGAATTTCTTTGGCCGTGGTGCGTTATATGGTGATGACTAACGATCATATTAGAGTTGGTTCGCGATGTGAGCGACTCATTAATTAGGAGAAGATGAAGCCAGTTGCGCATCATTATAAATTCACAACTAACGAGTTGTACAATTAGTTGTAAACTAATCGTAAGCTCAAGTTTGCAAGCATGTCTGCTGTTCATCACACTCGTAATAGTTAAGATGGAACAGACCGAGAAATTCGACGAGATTATATCGATGCCGTTTGCACGAAATAACTCCTTACGAAGCCACAGGCTCAAAAAGTCCCTTCAACTCTGTTAAGTGTGGTATTCCAATTAGGGTCTAACTCTCTTCATCTCCTCGGTGTTACGGCTCAGCCATAGAAGGTCGGGTCGACTGTAATGGCCCTGGGTGTCCAAATAGGCTTTGGAGCGAAGAATATCATCCATATTGAGATCTGTGATGACCAAACCCTCCTGGTCGTCAGGGAGGAATTCGGAAATAATCTTGCCGTCCGGTCTGATGACGCAGGACCGACCACCACCCGGTGCGTAATACTGATCGCCATCGGCTGTTCGCATACTATCGACGCCGCGAGAGCTAATGAGGGTGGAGGTGTGCAGAACGAAACACCCACCCTCGATGGCATAGGTGACAGAAAGATTGACGGATCCTGAAAGTATGTCCTGATTAGCCAGCTGAAAACCTCGTGCCACAAGGAACTCGCGATATGTGAAAAAAGGTGGGAGCCAACCTTCGTTAGCCGTGGACCACAGGCCTTTTCCTTCCTCGTGAGGCAGTTGGGCAGGCCAAGCCGCAACGTGAATTTGCTCGCCCTGGGAGTGCGTGTGGTACTTGAGCAATGGCTGAGAATGCTCCCAGCAGCAGAGCATTCCGACCCTGCCGATGCCAGGGCGATCGACAACATTTAACAACGAGTTTCCACTACCGTCACCAAAGACGGTCCGCTCCATGTGCGTGGGCTTGATCTTTCGTCGGCTGCACTTTATGGCGCCGTCGGAGCCGATGTAACTCTGCCCTAGGTACAGCGAGTCACCATCTCGTTCGGAGTAGCCGAGGACAACTTCTATATGGTGAAGAGCAGCGGCTTCGCAGATTCTGGTCATCTGCGGGGACTTCAGAGGTAGGGAGCTCTTGATGTATTTCTGGACGAGGTCAATATCACAACCGCGTGCCCTGTTGTTGCTTGAGTGGTTAGTCAACGGCCGTGCAAATCAATAGGACCAACCTACCAGATCCATGACGGGTAGCCAGGAATCCAGACTTCGGGGAAAGCAACCAGCTTTGCGCTTTTGCTTGCAGCTTCGCTAATCAGCTTAATCGTCTTCTCAACAGAGCCTTCGAGATCGAAGTACACTGGCTCGGCCTGAACAACAGCCACACGAACACTAGGGACCGGAGTGACGTCCATTTTTACACCCACAAAAAGTAAGCAGCAAGGAGAAAAAGGTAGTGGCTGATTCTTTACAGGAGTCGTCTGGCCAAAAGTGTCCAAGATAGTTCTTAAACGGCTTGCTTTGACACTCAATAGAAAGTAGAGCTATTGTCCGGCATAAGCCGATTTTGCATCCATGCGCCCTAACCGGGAGGCTAACTTCCGTAGACCATCAACTCAGCTGATGCGAGTCAGAGACAGCGTGAAATGATGTCAAGGGCCCTCAGGCTTCCCGAGATAAGCATCCTTATACTGGGGTCGGGATCTCCCTACAATTAGTAATCTCTCAAGATAGCCCTTATTCCGAACCGGTCGGGATCTACCATATCAGCAAGTACAGCGAGATAACGGTTCAGACAGGGGGTCTATATTGACCAGGCGCGTGAGGTAGTCAGTTTATTCTCGACAGTTTATTCTCGACAGTGCATGATTCCACGTCATGGCGATCAGTGTGATAAGCGATAACATCCCATATATGTGCAAGCCTGGAATGTTCACACTTTAACACGAACATGAAAGGTTGTTCTAGCTCTGCATCCAAGATTTCCCCCTCTGATCCGAAGAGACATCAAGATGTCGTCCGTCAACCGCTATAACCTTGCCGTGGTACTATTTGTGGCGCTTGGTTCTTACACTTATGGGTTCAATTCGTCCATTATTGCCTCTGTGACGGGTCTGCCCTCCTTCTATGCCTTCTTTGGCCTAACCAAGTCCGGTCCCAATGCGTCATGGAGTACCCAGATGATTGGAGGTAAGATGAAACCGTTCCACCTGCTTGACATGATCTACCAAACAATGATTGGCTAAGTTGGTACTTCAATTCATCAGCCATGAACAGTATCTACTGCGCTGGAGGTCTGTTTGGTTGCTTCGCCCTCGGCTGGCTTGCCGACAAAATCGGTCGTCGCCGATCGATCCAGGTCGTTTGTGTCCTCTGTCTCATCGCAACCATCATCACGACCGCAAGCACGAACCTGGCCATGTTCCTGGTTGGCCGAGGCATCCAAGGCTTCTCGTCCGGCATGATTGACACTATCTGCCCTCTTTATCAGTCCGAGATTGCCCCTGCACATGCTCGTGGTCGCATGGTCGGCTCCCATGCATTCCTGCTCGTTTGTGGTTATGTGAGTATCATCCGTCATACGTTGTGTACTTTTCGTTGAAGACTGGAGAGATTAACTGGTAGAAACCTTAGTAGGCCGGCGCAAGTTGGGTTGGTCTTGGGTGCTACTTTGAGAGAAACCCTGACGTTCAATGGCGACTCTGCATGGCATTTCAACTCCTTGCCCCACTACTTCTCCTTATCGGTACTCCTTGGCTGCCTGAGTCTCCTCGTTTCCTCGTCTACCAGGGTCGCGACGATGAAGGGCTCTCTGTACTCAAGAAGCTCCACAACAAAGCCAGCGATCCCACACACGGCATCGCGGAGCTTGAGTTCATTCAGATCAAGCAGCAGGTTACCAACGACCGCTGCAACGAGCTCAGCTGGATCGGGCTCTGGAAGACGCCGGCCACCAGAAAGCGACTCTTGATGGGTTTCTTCGTCATTGCCGCGGCCCAGAGCAGTGGTGTCCTCGTCATCAACAACTACCAGATCATCCTGTACGAGGGCCTGGGTATTACCGGATACAAGGCTCTGCTATTGCTCGGTGTCTACACCTCCTGGGCCGCCTTCATGAATTGGGTCAATGCTGTACTCCTCGACCGTGTTGGCCGGATAAAGCTCATGGTGGCCGGTATGTCCCTTGCTGCTATCGCTGTGGCCTGCGAGGCAGCCATGGTGGCCGAATTTGCCGGCACTGCCAACGCTGTTGGCAACGGATTTGGAGTCCTTTTCATGTTCCTTTTCATCACCTTTTTTGCTGGTGGCATGGATGCTTGTGAGCATTCTTCCTCTTTCAACCTGGATGATCTGGCTAAGTCAAGTACTAACCTGGATCAGCCTGCTATGTCTATCTTTCTGAGATTTTTCCCACCTGGATGCGCGCCCAGGGCGTCTCCTTTTCAGTGGCCGGCCTTTTCACCACCACTCTCATCTACACCGGTTCGGCCTCAACAGCATTTGCTTCAATTGGCTGGAGATACTACCTTGGTAAGTATATCTGACTGTAATGAGCAGTTTGTGGTACAAGCTCGCATCACTAACTCGACATCAGTCTTCGTCTTTGTCCCTCTAGCCTGCGTTGTGATCATCTGGTTTTGGCTCCCTGAGACAAATGGATTATCGCTAGAAGAGATTGGCAGACTATTTGGCGACGACGTCGTTCTGGGCTCGGATGTTATGGCACAGCTAGATGCCGAGAGTGGTGTCGAAAATAAGAATATCTCAGGGGGAATTGATATAGCGGCATGACTTTTAGGAAATTTAATTGGACGGGACCCTCTTTTGTTAGCACATTTCATTCTGCCAACAGTTCAAATTTGTACCCAGAGCTTAGCTCTCCATAATTCTTCCCTTGGCTACTGACGCGACGCGATCAAGCTCTCCATCAGATCCACTACGAGTCTCTCAACCCCCATTGAGGAGGTCCTTCATCATGCCTAATTCCGAATCACTCTCAAGCTCACAACGAAGTCAGACTCGAAGCCCTAGCCCTAGCAATCAATTACATCCTCGAAAATAACAGCGACAGAGCCGACAAGCCAGGCTCAGCCCCCCTCTACTTGCAAACAAGCTACGCTACAACCGAGCATTTGGAGGCGAAGGAGTTAATAGGAGCTGCTAGAGAGCGACGAGGAGACTCTTCTTTCTATAGTAGTTAGAGAATAGAGTACTAGATGGCTGGTCCCTCTGGCCTTTAATGGAACTGGTCTTATTCTGTATTGAAAATACGACCTCGTTTTGACGTCTGGGCACAGCCTGTTTTAGGGAGGTAGTCTGACCTACTTGCTTATATGGTAAAGAGAGGTCTTGTTATCGGAGCTAGTCACACCGCCTTTGCGAGAATGTATCTGTGGGTCGCGGGACCTTCAGCCAATTAGATGCTGTAATAGTCATGCCGCTGTATCAAAACTGTCATGCCGCTATATCAATTCCCATCTCAGGAGTCTTGGCCGGCGTGGATGTTTCTGATGGGAGTGACGAGAAGTCGGCCGCCGGTGCAGTCTGAAGTTATCATGAGCTTTAGGTATTATTCCTAGAGCGTCGGTATGTAGTTAGATCATTAACTGACTGGTTGGTAGATAATTTATTTGCGAGTACAAGCGATGCTTTGCGCTATAACGCCTTGAATCTAGAATCAGCTCGGGTCCCACAATCATGTCATTCCGTTTAAGGATTGTCGACAGTAGCATCAGCTCTCATCCTGCGTAGCTTAAATTTAGTCTGACTGACAGGGTCCTACAGTGGCTCGACCCCAATCAGCCATGCCTCGTGGTATTGGAAGGACATGTGTAGCTCTCAATCTCTACACAACTGCAATACAACCTGTCTGATTAAAGTAATGTAATGATGTACACATTCGACTCTAGCATATGAGTATTATGCACTACCTAGCTTCACTACCCAGTAGTTCGCGCTGTATCAAGCCTGGAACGAGTAAGTCAACTGCCCTAGTAACCGACCAACCCACCTTCCGACCACCCCCACTTACAAAATCAGTAGGCCTACCTTTCAACTTTAAATACAAATAAAACAACAACCAAGTATGCCAATTGGTCAATTTAAAGACTTTTTAAATAAAGAAAAGACTGAAGATTCCAAATATCTAAAAAATAGACCAATAAGACTATAGAAAAAGCTACTTATTCTGAATATTCTGACTCAGAAGGTTCTATCCAGCTTCTTATTACTCTAACATTTTAAATAGAGATAAAAAGCTTATTTGGGTCTCTTTTAACTGCTGCTCTTTTCCTCTTCTTTGATTGGCTTAATTGCTGTTTTAGAGCCCTATTTTCCTCCTCTAGCTTTGATACTTTCATCCCTAGAGCATCTAGACCCTTACCCACAGTTCGAAATAGCTATCTTGTAGTTGGGCTATTATAGCTAGGTCGACCTTGTGACCGCACCAATGACTGTACATCCCTTAAATGACTAGGGGTTGTAAATAGGTTATTTTCCGACCTCTGATTCAGTCTTGGAGGCGAGGGATCAGCTGATTGGACTGTAATAGTCTGATTGGGGTCATTAATAACGAACCGACTACTCAATGCCTTATTTCGGTCCATTGGCCACAATCCTGACCCTTTCCATCCAGCCTTTATATTGGCTTCTGTCAGGGCGGTATTTCTGGCCTCAAAATAGCACTTTAGGAAGGTCTCTTTCCTTGTTAGGCTGGTATCAACAAGGGGATTGGCTAGGGTTAACGCAGCTCGATATGCAGCCTTAATTGGCCTAAAGACTGATATATTAAGAGGCTGAAGAATATAGCTTATATATAGCGGTAAATAGACTAATTGGATTCGATTGGCTATATAGAGACGTATAAAATCGGGCGTTGCGTGTAATCCGTGGCCATCTAATATAAGAAGTCGCTTTTTATTGAGCTTTTCTGTCTTTAATCCCGGAATAAAGATCTCTTTTAGCTACTTAAGGCCAATTGCATCATTAGTCTAGCCTTTATTAGATAATATAAAGTTCCAATTAGTTAGATAGTCTATATCCTCTGGAAATTACTGCTATTGTAGGTTCTTGCCTTTGAAGATAACCAATAAGTTAAGGCACTTTCCAGTTGTAGAAATAGCCTTAAGAATGCTAGTTTAATAGAGGCTACCCGGGTATTTCTTAATAGTTGATTGTAGCTCTAATTGGCCAAGTATAAGCCTATTGGTTCCGATCCCTTGAAAGATCCCAGTTTCATCCTAATTCCAATAGTTACGTAGAGGGATATTGTAGATACCTGGTTGGTCTAATATATCAAAAAATGCACCAATAGCATATAGATTAGCCCCATTTATCCTTTTTAAGTTAATTCCCTTAGCTCTAAGTATTTTTATTCGCGGATTGCAATGTAAAAACCCAGTCATCCAACGTTTTCCAAGTAGTCGGTTATCGCCAGCTACGCCCAAAATAGAAATAACCAACTTCCAAATCTAGGCATAAGTCATAGCCATACCTAGCTTGTCTTAAAAGATAAGCCAGTCATAGAGCTGCCTTTCTTGATGTATAGAGAGCCATTGCTGCTATTGGTGGGCTTCATGACGGGTTTCTATGCCGTTGACTCGATCGCGTAGGGTTCCATAGGGAAGATTGTGATGATTGGCTGCTTTTCGCATCGATACACCTTCAGCAACCTCTTGGATGGCCAATTGAAGGTCATTTTCAGTGTAATTGGGCATGCTTAATAGCCCAAAGAGGTCGAATTGCCCAATGAGGTATTGTGAAAGGAAGAAACGCGTGTGGCGCAAGACGCGTTGTGGTCAACGCGGGTTAAAGTGGGCCGGTCGGAAGGTGGGTTAGTCGGTTACTAGGGCAGTTGACTTACCTCGATAGATGGCACCAAGAGACGCGCAACTGTATATCCTCCTTCTAAGCGGGAGTCGTATGAACACACGGCGAGCGAAGTAGGCACGACCTTGAATGGAATCGATTCCATGATATCGTATAGCTCATCTGCCAGGATTCCTCCGGGAGATGGTCATTCGTTCGCTTGTCCGAGGGAATCGCCCAGCACATCTGCGTCCAAGTGCATGTGGCATGGTGCTTGACTGTCGTGGCTTTCGGCGAGCAACTTTGCGACGTCAACCCGGTAGTCGACTTTGTTGTCCGCACTTCCCCAAATGGTTCTCAAGTTGGATTTGTTCATCCATTCCTTCTTCCTGTCAAAGATGTGTCGAACGCCGACGAATGATACTCGATCTATGGGGAGAGGCTGATATCTGGGCATCGTTCGCGTCAAAGCTTCGACACAAGGCTATGCGTTAGAAGATGCCTAGGTCCTCCGCCGATACGCAGATTCGGTATGCCTGCGTGGTAAGGGGCCACGATGAGACGAATCGATGTCAACATAGTGACCTGGAGGTAGGATGAGGATCCAACAAAAAGGCAAAGCAAAAGGTCGGAAATGAAAGGCGGCTCGAAAGAAACAATCCTAGACGATTTCTCTACAGGGTCGGGAAATACGACGGAACTCTTCGCAAAGTGCCTGGAACCAAAGTCTCCAGGGGGTGGGGGGGTGGCCTTACAATTCGGGATCTACATACTCCGTAGCTCGATGGGAAATCTTGGAAAGATATTCGGAAAGTCTTCGGCCAAACTTCTAGTACAAGGTTGATGAAAGAGGACCGTGAAGTTCCAGGATAGCTTGGAAATTGTGTATTTCATTGGGGAGATGAATCGCGGCTCAGAGGCTAGAGATTCCCCTGGTAACCTCGTATTAGCTGAGAATCCCGAAAATTAGAGCAATTGAAAATCCGTGTGGCTAGAAAGCTCTAGTTCAGGCGACGAAACTCACTCTCAAGTGGAGAAAGATAGCACAGGAAGAGGTTGAAATCCCGACGAGTCGCCGAAGCGCTGAATCCCGAAATTCGGAGCTAGGAGAGGCGAATCCCGACGTAGTGGCGTGGTTCGGACGCAACCTTGCTTGATCTGTACATTATCTTACCTAGAGCGAGGTCCAAGTGCAATCAGAGTAGCGTGCCACTAATTGTTGGGGCAGTTAGCGCTGACTGGGGTCAAACTAGGGTAGGCCGTAGTAACACGCGTTCGAGGTGCTAGGAAGTCAAGCAGTAGATATATAGGTAGGCCAGAGACAGGGTGGGATGAAACGTCTATACTTGTGTCTCTGATTGAGTGTAAACCTTAGCCTTCACTAATTCATCGACAGCAGCATTCCAGTCTTCATTCTGTGCAAGGCATCCGCCTGAGTCCACGACGTCACAATGGCTCTCCCTATCAACAACGTCAACAAGCTCCATGCCGTGCTTCCACCTAACGCGAAGCCATGGTACCGCCAGGGCCATCTGGTCAAGCTTAACTTCTGCCTGATTTCGTGCATGATGTACGGTAAGTAGATATCAGCATTGCTCGTCTAACACAGCTCATCAACGCAGTGTCTAATTCGGGTCTTCTATCTAGCATCGACGAACGGATACGATGGCACACTCCTAAACGGTTTCCAGTCGTTGAATAGATGGGTCGACTTCATGGAAGACCCGGATGCGACGTGGCTAGGAACCATCAACTGCCTGTACTGGATCACTGTTGGAGTCGTGGCGCCAGTCTCCAGTTGGGCTGCCGGCAAATGGGGCCGCAAGATTCCTTCGTACTGCGGTTTCATCTTCCTGATCGCTTCGACTTGTCTCCAGGCCATGGCCCAGAACCCGGCCATGTTCATCGTCGCTCGAACCATTCTCGGTGGCTCCACGGCTTGCTTTGGAATTGCGGTGCCTCTTCTTATCGCCGAGCTGGCGTACCCTACACAAAGAGCTATCATGAGCAATCTGTACCCTGCTGGTTTCTTCGTTGGCTCTTCTATTTCGGCTTGGAGCGTTTACGGAATGCGTAACTACGCTAGCAGCTGGTGTTGGAGACTTCCTACGATTTTGCAGGTTCTGTGTCCTCTATCTGGACTTGTCGGTCTGTATTTGAGCCCAGAAAGTCCCAGATGGTTGATTTCCGAGGGAAGGATCGAGGACGCACGACAGATCTTAGTGGACTGGCATGCTGGAGGCGACACTAATTCCGCTCTGGTCGAATTTGAAATGGCTGAGATTATTGAGGCTGTCCGTGCCGAAAAGGAAGCGAGCGGTACTGCCAGGTTTTCTGACCTGTGGAAGGGTCCCGGAAACCGCCACCGTCTCTTCATCACCATCACCATAGGTTTCTTTGCGCAGTGGGTGGGCAACAACGTGGTATCTTACTACCTGGCTCTCGTCTTGGACACTGTTGGCGTGACATCCGCCGATGACCAGACTCTCGTTTCTGCCTGTCTTCAATTCTGGAACTTGATCTTCGCAGTTATCGGTGCCTTGTTCATCGATCGTCTGGGCCGGAGAATGATCTTCCAGCTGTCTTTTGCGATTATGCTGGTCAGCTACGTCATCGTCACTGGTCTTTCAGGCTCGTTCGCCAGCACTGGGAATGCCAGCACCGGGCTGGCTGTCATTCCCTTCCTATTCGTCTTCTACGCTGGTTACGGAATCTCTCTGTAAGCTTTACCCCGTTACCCTATTCCTTTTATAATGTCTAACAATGTTTAGTACACCGCTGCTCATTGCCTACCCTCTAGAAATTTGGACCTTCCAACTTCGTGCTCTCGGCCTCAGCGTTGTCTGGATGTCGACTGTCGTTTCCGTCGTCTTCAACGTCTTCGTTAATCCCATTGCGTTATCCGCTATCGGGTGGAAATACTACCTAGTATTCGTAGCTGTACTAGTTTCCTACGGAGTTACCGCGTACTACTTCTACCCCGAGACCCGTGGCTACACTCTGGAGGAAATGGCCATCGTGTTCGACGGAGACAAGGCTGCGCTTGCAGCCGTGCAGCACATTGAGGGGTTGACCGTTCACCATGAGCAGGATGAGAAGCCCACAAAGCAGTAGAATTTTATATCTTCGTTGCATACACGAGGCGATACCTATTCTTCGTCGAAACTTGGTTCTGTATTAGCATGAAGATTTCAACTCATTTGGCTATCATTTGATGTTTTAGCAGGTGGGGGTCCCTGCCTTTCCTCTTCCCCTTGTGTTTTGTAGAAGATTGAGAAATAAGGGGGACTTCAAAACAGACGACATGATGAGGAGTCGACATGGAAGGACCAATGGTGATCAAAGTTGGCCCTGTTGAGCTCGAGTATCAACTACAGCAGGTTATAGCGAAAAGCCATATTTATGTTCTGATCGTTAGTTACAGGTTGGCTATTCCTCCAGGAGCCCCTGCAATCTCTGATCTTGAATGCCACGCGGTTCCGCGCGCCCTACAATATTGCAACCCGTGCGATTCCCCATCTGGACCAGATCCGTAGCCAAACCTTGCTGCATATGCATCTTCTATTACTGGCGAGAAACATCAAGCAGACCTAGGCTATGTCTAGTCAGAATGTAAAGAGCAAACAGCCTTCGCAACACATCATTCACAAGGTTAATAGCGCACACTATATTCGTATTTTGGCTCACCCGTGCCTTCAGCATGATGGCGGGCTTCTGCATGCGGTACCCGGACGCTCGACAGAGCATCATGGCGTTCCGACGCCACTCAAATGAAGCCTTCCTATCGTTCAGCCATGATTCCGCCGCCTAGCCCTAGGTACTACAGACCCACGCATGGTAAAATTCACTGACTGAGCCGCAACAGGAGGAGGAACACATGGATGGCACAGCAGGAAACATACTTGAACTACAAAACATTGGGAGAGATTTCGCAACTTCTACAACAGAGGAACATCATATACTTTAGCCATAGATACAAGGCAGGAACACTGGGAACAGCTGGCCTCATTTCAACAATGGGGCGAAGTGGGGTCTCTCTGCGGATACTTCAGCTGTTTGCCAGGTCCTGCTAAGTCAGAGACCCTAGTTGTTGAATTGGAGGCATGGAACACCAGGGCTCCAGGGTGTCACGTGAGGAATAAGGGACCTATTCGGGCAGGGCTCGCCGAGCCCCCGGCCGGCTAGTCCGTACTAGGAAGCAAGGGAAAACTAGTCCCCCCTGACCGTAAGGGGCGGGACACACACGTAACAGCTACACACACAATACACATACGCGTTCGAGGTCATTAAGTGGTTATTGAAGCTATCCAACAGTATTTAATCGATAGATATATATATGTATGAGACTCTTAATTGTTGGAAAGCTAGCGTGGCACTTCCGGTGACATAATTGTGTGTATTGTGTATGTGTGCGTGTGTGAGGCCGGGAGGTCTCCCGGCCGTGACCGCGCTGTCACTACTAAAGGTTGGGGCCTGAGGCATCTCGCCAATAGGCTGCTCTGACCGCCTTCCTATTCGGGCAGCACCCGGCACATGCTCTGTACATAGTCCAATCTAACAGTTATCGCTCCTTACACTGATTGACAAGGAAAAAGTGGGTACTGTCAGGGTTCTGCCGGTTGTGACCGCCTGGTCCAACCCAGCCCGTGACATTCATCTTCAAACGTGCATCTCCCTGGCGCTTTTGCAAAGCTGTCGCTCGTCACCAGAGATAGCGCATCTCCACAAGAAGGCCATACATCCATGCCGATTAAATACAGCATCTGGAAATGGGAACCGTTCGACACCACACCAAATCGCGGCGAGGCTGTGTCAACTGTAAAACTAGGCGTGTCAAGGTAGGCCTCTCCTCACGACTTGTACCGGGACCGTACTGAGCGAATGTCAGTGCGACGAAGCGAAACCTGCGTGCGCAGCTTGTACTCGTCGAGGCGATGAGTGCACCTACGTATCGCGTGTGAAGCAGACGTCTGGCACCGAGACAGCATGTTCATCTACAGCTTCATCAAACACCACTCCTCTTGGGGGTACATCTAGCGATCTCATCTATGATACGCATAAGGAAGTGCCCAGGTGCTTCGACTACAGCGGGAAGAATATGATGCAGCTTCGGTTGATGCATCATTACGGAACTGTTACCGTGAGAAACTTTGCGGAAGCTTTCATGTTGCAAGGTTGGATCCTCCACGGTCTCCAGGTTGACATACCTCTACTTGCCTTTGAACACCCATTTCTCCTCGACACAGTTCTCCTTGTGGCCATGATACACATGGCGAGTATGGATAATCATTCAGTCAACACGTTGGACGTGGCAAAATACCGAAACCAAGCGATTTGCGCCATTCGAGAGGAGCTCAACCACATCTCGGAGAAGAATATCCGCGCCATCCGCGCGTCGTCCCTGCTCTTGGCGACGACATCCTTTGCGGCCGATAGGGTTACGGGATACTCGGGGATATGGCTCACAAACTTTTTGGCACTCAACATTGGCTCTCGCACTTTCATGCCGCCTCGCGGAGCTGGCGGTCAAGCCTACGAAGATATCCGTCGATTAAACGTTGCCGCCATCACAAGGCCCTTTGGAGGCCCACAGACCACTTCTTCGATACCGCCGAGTCTAAAAGAAGCCCTACACATGGACCAGGATGACGGCGACTGGGCATATCGCGAGGACCTTCAACGGGCAGCATCGGGAATTGGTATACTCTTCGAGACACTACACCAATTATCCGTGCCATTGATTGTCTCCCAACTCAAAGCTTGGCCATTTTTATACATTTCAGAAGCCTTTGTCCAACTGGCCCGTGAAGAACGACCAAGAGCACTGATACTAATGGCCTACTATCTTGCATTTATGCAATACTTCCCAGATATCTGGCTGTATGAGGATGTTGCGAGAGAGGATTTGGAGAAAATTACGAAATTACTAGGACCTCAATGGCACGAATCCTTGTCTATTCCACTGGAGACGGTACGAATAGAGGAAGAATCTTTGATGACAGAGTATTCTTTGTTGACAGAGTATCTCGTCAACCAGGTGCCAAAAATGGCACACGAAGAAGTACCAACGGCCGACCTGTGGCCAGACAGTTATGAACTCAACAAATCGTCGTAAATGAAATCATAGAGAGGTTATGGTTTACTCGCTATTTCGGTGACATTGGGTGCAATAGGAGTCTCGGAACTAATCGGACGGTTCTTATTTGCAAAGAATAGCATATAGACAGCTTAGGAGGTAAATTTGAGTGAACATTGGGGCTAGAACATCCAGGTTGACATGGGTCAGGATCTTGGTCATTCAATGAACCATCTGCACGATTTTTTTTTTATACACTCAGCTAAAATGATACGATGGGGAAGTGCAAAAAGGTTTAAGCTATATCTCCGAGGTTTCAATGACAAATGTATTAAATGTTTAAATGTGTGATAGTTTCCTATTCAAGGGGTAACAAGAGATCAAGGCCTATCCTCAGTGACCCATTCAGCTGGCGTGCCTGTTTAGGAGAATGAATAAAGCAGCAAAATCCCCATCGCCAATCCATCCAACTGCTCACTTGGCCCATATTGAACCTACATGTCTTGCAGATCCATTATTTCCTTCTTTGTGGGAACGTACTTGGCGGGGTGAAAGATGCCAATAATAGCCGCTGCACCAAGCATCAACAGCGCGTCGAAAATGTAGAGATAGGCCTCGTTAGTCATAAGAGGCCCGTCTCTGCCACTCGTGTACTCAATGAGTCTGAAGAGAGATCTCACAAAGATCAAGGCGCTCGACACGTAGAGAACAGTCATGACACCCCGCCAACCTCGAAGCCATTTCTTGCTATCTTCGACGGGCAACAAGGCCGGGCGTTTGAGGATGCGAAGGTGAAATACAATCCCGGCGATGATGAACAAGCCGAAGAAGATAATTTGGACGGCCAGGCCTAGCAAGATGACCATCTTGCCCGTGTTGAAGGTATTCGCTTTGGCGAGGAGGCCTCCTCCCATGCACTGCATCAGGAACGATATGACATCGCCAACGACAAAGATCTTGGTCATAATTGTTGGCTTGATGGGGGAGAGGGACGAGACGCGAAGGAACAGGATTAGGCGACCAAGCACCATGTAGATGGAGGCGGCGAAAAGAGCTGGCGCCACAAGCAAGCATAGGGTTTGAATCATGAACGGCCCAAGGCTCGATGGGTTTGATGCACTGAGGAAGCGGCCGATATAACCGACAGTTTCCACTGCTGCGTATTAGTCGAGCGACGGTGATACTGGGTTTGGCGAGGACTTACTGATGCACCCAATGAGCAAAGGAGTAAAGTACCATGCTCGCTGTCGAATAATGACCCAGATATGCCAGATGGTCACCAAGCAAAAGGCGAGGAGGAAAATCATGGCTGCGGCAGACGAGGGCTCATAGTCGTAAAGCTGATACTCTTCGTTGGCCATGGTGAGTTCGGCTGGGGGATTGTGACGGTGATGAGGGAGGTAGTAGTGGCTTGTCGAAAGGAAGTTGGAGGGAGAGAATGCGAGAATCAAGGTGTTGAGTCTGAAGAAAACATGGATGAGGGTCTAGAAGGTGTACTTATACGTTGTCAAGTTGACACCAAAGCAGAGCCATCAAATCGACTTCTCCCCACTTGATTTGATCCATACCTCGCATCTCGCACCTCGCACCTCGCATTTCGCATTTCGGTACGTACCTCCTGTACTCCTAATTCGTTTGCGGTTAGGAATCTCTCCACTTTTTGCATACGGGGCTTTTGTTGCATTGGCGAGCCAAAGTCGATACCACGCGCTAGTCCCCCAATAGTAATAGGACTGCAGTGTCCACGTAATTTCCATACCCGCAGCGTTCACTAAATATAGGCTGATACAAGAAATTTCAAGAGAAATCGTTTAGTAGTGGCGGTCGTGCCGAAAACTGGCCACATGGGTCCTGTTTCTAGATCCATGGTTGAAGATGTTTGTAATCGGAACCATGGCCGATCGGCTACTCGGGATTGATTGATTCATTCATTCATTCATTTCCGTCCTGAAGGTTAAAGACCCACACGATCCCCTTCTGGGGCAAAAGGACGTGCCAGGCTAGTTAAATATATGATTTATAGTTGCCTCAGAGTCCTCAGCTGTAAAGGGGTTGCCTGTGGATTGGAGCCCCAGAGCGCCACCTCCAGCAGAAGGATTCCAAGGCTGTAAGTGTCGTATGTCTTCTTGAAGGTGGTGCGTTTGTCGCTGGAATCGAAGGTTCTTGGATGCCGATATAGGTCCATGTCGACGTCTGCCGCAATTGTCTCGGAAAAATTGGCGCTGTGGTCGGATGCAACTGGCATGTCTGCCCGTGCATAGCCGTATCCTTTGAGGAACGGACTGCCGATCAGGCGATTAATGCCGCCACTTGCATTCTCATCGTACCCTTCCGGGTAAAAGAACAGGATGTTTCTCGAGCATATCGACTTATGAAGCCAGCCACAGACGTGCAGCTGGACCAGAGCCTTCGCAAGCGAAACGGCGAGGGCAAACCGGTTGTTGAGGGTGGGAAGATTCTGCGTTCTCTCTGGAGATGCGAAGAGGTCGTAGAGGGACGCTGGCTCCCGGCCGCATGATGGTTGAGGGTGCTTGTAGACCATGGCCATGTGCTCTTTGTTCAGATCCATCGTTGCACCACAAAACTCAAGAGCCCGCAGATCCGGCACATCAGATGCATGGATAAGAAATGACATGAGCCACTCTAGCCTCAGAAGTGACTGGGAACGCGCCACATCGTCTTTGGGAAGCCTCCTCCACTCGAGTACGACATGCTGTCGATCGTAGACTGCCACTTCCAAACCCGCCGAAGGACTCAGGTCCCACAAAGGCATGTCTATCCACTTTCTGGGCTTGAAATTCGGATGCGCCTCTTCCGGATGTGATTGTACGTGTGTGGCTGGCTTTTCGGTGTTGTCCATAGCCAGCTTGAGAGCCTTGAGAGCGGCCAACACATAGATGTCAGCGTAACGATCCGTAATAGACAACTGAAGGAGCTTGATCTTAGAGATGTTGTCAGTGCCGAGCACACGAATGACGAGCTCTTGAAAGGACCGCCTCGCCTCCCGCTGGCTTGTCTCATCGAGGAGCGACAGTAACGAGTCGTTGATGGCCGCGATGTCGCTAACGTGCCCTCCATTCCAGCCTTATCGGCCAAGACCCATCGAACAGAACCCCCGACTAGTCCAGTGTGCGATGTAATGGCTCTGCCTGACTCGGTTGCGATTTGGTCCACTCTGTCATCGTCGCGGTGTCTCATGAGGACAGAGTGGACTAATAGCCGCTCGACGCACTTGAGGGATGTGTGAACAGTAGCGAGGTGACATTTCGGGATGCCAACACCACCAGAGACTTTGGCGGCATCGCCCCAGAGTTTGAAACGTTGTATTTCGATTTCGAGCCGGCATCGCAGAACCGACAGGTCAGATTCCATGTTAAGTGCCGTGAGCAGGTTATTGTAGCCTTTGACACAGGCGCCAAAGAGCTGAAAGCTGAAGCTCGCCGCTCCAATGGCGCCGCTAGAGTCCATACTTGGGCTCTGTCACTACAGATTGTGGAACCAAAAAGTGGGAGCAGGACCCTGTGGCTGTAGCCTTTGTTGAGGACAAGACGCGAGAGAGAGAGCGAGGAAAGAGTTGACCTGGAAGACGACAACCATACTTAGTGGCGCATTGGAACCTGGAGGGTCGGCAAATTTGGAGAAGGTGGCCTAAGGAATAGAGCGAGGCGCAGGGGAAATAATGAAGACTGCTGTACGCAGCTACGCCACAACTTGTCAGTCTTTTGGTGTATTGGCCGAATTACTATGCCTCCTAACCCTGTTGCAGATTGCAAGGCGCACTTCGCGGCAGATTATGCCACAACTGGTCGGCCTTAAAATCTATTGGTTGGATTAGTACGCCTCCAAATCCTTCTGCATACCGGTATTGCAAGGCGCACTTTGCGGCAGATTGTGCCACAACTGGTCGGTTCCAAATCTATTGGCTAAATTGGCACGCCTCCAAATACCGTTGTATTGCAAGGCATACTTCAATGCACATTACGAGTTAATCTTTTGGCCTGCCTCCTAGTTCTGTTGGACGGTGTTGCTTGGCATTGCATTTCAAGTCACCAGCCGCTCGTCAAGACGAACCAGCCTTTCCTAGCTGCGCCAGATTTTCCCTATATTGAACAAGCGTACCTTTGCTCCTAAAAAGTGAGACTCCATGGACGGGCTCAAGATCTTCGCCCCATCACCTAACCCATCGCCTAATCCATCGACGGCGCACACGAGAACCACACAGCCAGCTTCTTCCTCTTCCAATGTCGTTGTCAGACATGATGATGGGAGTCCGTCCTCCTCTATTGACATGAATCCGACCGTTAATGTCAGGAGATTGCTCCCCACTTCGGTAATCACCAATATCTCAGTCCATGACCTCGTCATTCTTGCCGGCCCGGTCGAACCGGTTGCAAACCAGGGGACTGTGTCCACGCAGCACAGAGCGGGCCACATAGCTGATGCTGTCTGTCGAAACCCTAGCTCCATCGTCGGAACAGGCGCCACCTTCACGACAAGACAGGTTCAAGTGCAAGGCAGCTGCATCGAGTCTGGATACGTCGTCACCAAAGTACCACGAATCACCTCAAAGAAGGAGGAAGCTGGATCTGGCCTACAAAGGCGACTGAGACGCATACTCTTCGAAATACGGGTCCTTACCCACGAGCCACTGATGTTCCACGACAACATTGTGCGGTTTCTTGGCATTTCCTAGGAGGACGACATGGACGACCCCAAGACCAAATGGCCTAGTCTTGTTCTCGAATACGCAGATGCCGGTGAGTGAGCTCTCGAAGGGCACGGCCCGGAACAAGGTCATGAACAAGACTAATTTTCAATGCTTGCCCCCTCCCCAGGGACCCTGCATGAGGCCATCAACAACGAGGCTATCCCTAAAAGACTGGGATTGAAGGCAATGGTTACTAGTCTACAAGAGGTATTATCTACATCCGAGTCACGACTCGCTTGCCCACCAACTCCCACCAGGGGGCCTAGTTATTGGGAATAAAGCAACAAGAAAAACCGGCTGAGTTGCCGGGAACGTTGACTGACGATGGCGAACATCGCAGACAATGAAAGGGGAGTGCACCCTTCGTTAGGCCGGTGCAATCATCACCTTTGCCAAACCGAAACCGAGTGATGCAAGCTGAGAGAACCGTGACCTACTGTGCAAGATTCACTTTATTTTAATTATCAGCAAGCAAAGTTTCGCGCCTGGTTCTGGGTGTTCTGTAGTTGAACTTTGCTCGTCTTGGTGGTGACGCGGGTATGACGGCGATAAGCAGACCACGGTTTTAGTCGGTCGCCCTTTTCGAGCTTCGGATAACTAGATTCGTTCATCTTATTTCTCCTCTTCGCAACTGAACGTCCAGTGTTGAGAACCCTCAACCTTTCGCTCGTTCCAGAAACCACCTAGGGAGCAGGCATACGACACGATCACCCCATCATGAGGCCCGCAAACTACCTGCCGAGGCCAGAGCTGTTGCTCTCTGCTTTTGCTTCAGTCTCGCTCTACAGCGCCGTCGCGCTGGCTCAGAATTCTGACAATAGCAAGGACAGCGCGGCTGCTGCTCCAGCTCCTGCAGCGACCGACGCCGCCAAGGACAACAATAAGTCGGACGACAACAAGTCCGCTGACAACAACTCGGCCAAGAACAGCGACGCGAACAAGCCTAGTGCTATCGCCGCCGAGCCCGCCAAGGAGACCAATACGGATAACAAGAGTAATGCAAAGGAGTAACAGCCTGCTACTACCGACAAGAAGGAGGAGTCAAAGCCCTCAAAAACGACGGAGAAGAAAAAGGAAGAGCCGACGTCAACCAAGAAGGACCCGACCAGCACCGTCAAGGACATCAAGTCCACTATCACGGAAATGGCATCTTCCGCTACCGAGGACCCAGTAATCAATCACTGGACTGCCAACCTTGACCAAACTCAAGCCAATTCCTACCTATCCGGCTGCCACTGTTCCACCTACCAACAATGCCCAATTTATGCAACACTCGAGTGCACCTGACGGAACTGTCTTCATTGCTTTCGGCGCTATTCTGGGCACTTTTAGCCTTAGCATCCTCCTCTGGCGTCTCATTGTCGGGATTCTCCTTCACCGTTCGGTTGAGCGAGCTGCTAAGGCGCAGCACGATGCCAACGCGAAGGCAGGCTTTCCCGCTCCTCTTGCGCCCTTCTACAAGTACACGGACAACGGCTATACTATGTCTCTTTCGGCTGGTCGCGGCGTACGACATACAAACCGTGGACCTCTTCTGTCATCGACTCCCAGCGCTTCCAACTTGTTCTTCTCACCCACGGCTGCTGCGTCCGGCAATGCTCCTGGGAACCGTGGCTCAGCTTTCCTGCCCTCAGGTTACTATGCAGCCGGCAACAGCTCACCTGGTGGCATCCACGAGCTCTCTATTAGCTTGACCAACCTTCGCCCCGACTCGCGCGGTCAATTCGGCAATCCCTCGCGTCATACTCTAAACCTCTCACCTCCCGACTCACCGTCATTCAATGCCCGAAGAGATATCAGCAGCTCGACTCTGAGCCCGCACCGACATCCAAGCCAGCGAGCCCCCAGCGCGTTCCTCGAGGACCTTCTTGCCGACGACCCTTCAAGTCTACCACACCACAGATGCCTACTTCAAGGCATTCTTCGTCTAACAGCGCCTGCGTCGCCCCTTCTCCATTCCTGTTATAAGTAATTTATATTAGTATTTAATATTTAAAAAAGAGTATAAAATTATTATTATTATTATTTTTTTTTTAATTAATTTTTTTTTTTAAATTATTTAAAATTTCTATTAATTTATTATCTATTTTTTAAATAGATTTTAATATAATTACTAAAAGTAAAAATATAAAATAAAATCTACTTAATATATATTATATTAATTTGATAAATTCTTAAAATTCTTAAAATTTTAGTAATTTATATATATTATTTAATTTTATAATAAATTAGCTACTTTTTTTTAATTAACTTATATATTATAATTTTTTTTTTAATTTTATAAATTCTAAGTATTTTAAATATCTTTTATTTTATAAAAACCTTTTTTTTTTAAAAAAAGTAAATATTAAATAATAAAATTCTTATTAATCTTTTAATAAATAAATATAATTAAGCTTTTAATTTTATTAATAAGCTTTTTTAAAAAGTAAAAAATATAATTTATTTTACTTTTAATAGCTAGATTTTTTAATAAAATATATTATTTTTTAATATTAATATTTATTTTATTAATAAAAATTAAAAATAATAAACATTTTTTTTAATATTATTAGCTTTTAAAAAAATACTATATTAAAATAGTATTTATAAATAAAATTATTAATATAATTTATATTTTTAATTTTTTAAAAAAATATAAAATTATATTTAATAACTTTATAAATTAATAAATTAAATATATTAATTATTATTTAATTTTAAAATTAAATATTATATATTTAATAATTTTATTAATAATAATATAACTATATAAGTATTTATTAATAAGTTTAATTTTAATAAAATTAAATATTATATTTATTATACTCTTTATTTTTTTTTTAAATTTAATAGTTAAAGTTATAATATATAATAATAAAAAAGATAATTTTAATAAGCTATTTATATATTAAAAAAACATAAATTTTATAATTAAAAAAAATAAGTAATATTACTTATTAAATATTATTAATAAATTATAAATTAATAATAAGTTTAATATATTAAATATAAATTTTTTTTTTAAATATAATATAACTTTAAAAAAAACCCTAAAATTAATATTTAATTTTTAAAATTATTATTATTAAGAAATTAAATAAATACTATAAATTTAAATTATTTAAAAAGTTATATAATATTAATATTTATTTATTTATTTAATATATACTATTTTATCTATATCTAAGCTTATAAAATTCCTTTAATTAATTTAAAGAGAAAAAACCTTCTAGCTATCTAACTATAAAATAAAAACCTTATTATAATTTCACTCTACTACCTCAAAAAGCTTATTATTATTATTAAATTTATACTAATAAACTCATTACTAGCCTTATCTAGATTGCATAATATATATTTATCCGCCTTTCAGTCTCAGCTTCTTCTAGATCGTAGAGGAGCCATTAGGGATTTATATACAAGTTCGCAGCAACCGGTGCTACAACCCGCCTAGTTTGCCTTCTTCGTAATTGCTTCAGTAGCGCTGCATCTGCCCTTCCTGGCGCAGACCTCCAGATGCCCTTGCGGTAGCCCCCCGGGCTGCCGTTGGAATCTCGGAGCTCGGCCTTTCCTTCTTCTAGTTATGTGACCCTTATATATCGGCGTGTATATAGGTGCCGGGCCTGCGTAGCTGTTTGCTTAGAATCCCAGCCCTACAATTTCCAGGGCTGGTTCGCCCTGCTACATTGCGGGGCGGGCCTTGCGTTGCCTTAGCAGTCTCTATTCTCACCTTTTTCTCACTTTCAATTCAGGCTCTTAATAGCTTTAAATGCGCCTCTATCCTCGCGCCTCTTAGGGCTTAAGGATTCGGGGCCTGCTTGAGGCTTTTCTAGGCCTTATAAAAAGCCCCTTCCCCTCCATTTCTTTCTTTTCTTTTTCCTTCCTTCCTTATCATTCCCCCGCCGCCCCTGCCGCAGCTATCCCTTGTAAGTCTCCCTTCTTCCCCCTTTGTAGTCTCTGTACTGTCGCTGGGTTCTCGCTAACTTGTAGGAAGTTGTTTTTCCCTTCTTGTTTCCTGCCTGGTTGCTGCTTCGATTACGTCTCGATTTCGCTACGATGCCTCCCCGCTTGACTCCCGAGGAGCAGAAGGCGAAGGCTGCAGCCCGTCGCTGTGAGAAAGCCGCCTAGAAGAAGGTTAAGAAGAAAGCCCTCAATAAGGCTGCTGTAGCTGCCGTGGCTTCTTCTGCTAACGAGGAGGAGGAGGAGGAGGTTGTTATTACTCTCCTTAAGTATTCTTCTAGTAATATTGCTATAGATATATTTAAGAATTTAAAAAAACCCAAGCTTAATATCTCTTTATTTTATATTATACTAGATATTTCTAATAAGCTGCTATTTCTTTTAGTTGATATATTGGATTTTTTTTTATTAAGATAAGTATTTTATAGTATTTTTATAATATTCTTATTAATTAATTCTTTAAAAAGTTAGTAATTACTAATTTATTTTTTATATTTATTATACTTAGTTAATAATTTTAATTAGTACTTCTAATTATTTCTATTTTACTTATAATATATTATTTTTATATTATTCTTATAATCTTTCTTTTTTTAATATTAACTTTTAACTAAATTCTAATAGATACTATACCTACTATATAAAGGGAAAGTATATTTATATTTTAATAAGTAGCTTTTATAATAGCTTTAAGTTTCTATTAATTTTTCTTAGGTTTCTACTTATTCTACTAAGCTTGTTATTCCTACTTATATTATATTTATAGTCTATCTTATTTAATATTATATTTACTAGAAGGTAGGTATAGTTCTTAATTATATAAATACCTTTATAATTATATAGAAATCTTACTAATTAGATATAATCCGACGATATAAATAAGATTGAGGAGATTTTTAGCTATTATAACTAGCAGGCCATTACTACAGCCTCCACTATAGAAGGGTCAAAGAATAAAGTAGCTACTAGGTTGGCCCTAGAGGCTCTCGACAGTAGCTTTATAGCTGCTAAGACCAACTATCTCCTTTACCATCTTATTATTCTTAAGAAGGCCTTTCTTATCGCTGCCTCTATTAAGATTCCTTTAAATAGAAAGGATACTAATAATATTATTAACTAGTAGATATCTTAACAGTATCGCTTCGGCTTCGGCCTTAAGCTCTTAGTAGGCACCATTCTTTATAGGCTTAATTCCTTTATGGGGCGACTTTCATCTACATCTCAATCAATCCAGGTGGTTACCCGCGCGTTATTGCTAAGATCTCGTTCCTCCCTCGTCTATTTCCTATGCCTCCCATTTCTTTTATAGGGCTATTGCTAGTCTAAACTATATAAGTCAGACTATCTTGCTATATTAGATTGCTGCTGTAGGTGCTGTGCATTTATTGCTAAGGTAATGTTTTATATTCCTGTAGTTTTGTAGTTTGGGCTCCGGGAGGAGGGTCTTATTAATAATATTAATATTACTTAATAAAAAAATATTAATATTATATATTTTTCTTAGCTATTTTATATAGGTATTAACTTTCTTATTATTATATTATTTTTTATTAAAATAAAAAAAGATTTTAATAATTATAAAAAAATAGTAATATTATTTAAATTTTATTTATATTTTATATAATAGCTATAGCTTAGTATTTTTATTTATAAAATAAAATCAGTATTTATTTATTAGCTATTTCTTTTTAAATCTTCTTAAAAAAATAATTAAAAGTAAATAAAATTAATATAAATAAAAATAATAAAAACTAGCTTTAAATCCTCTAATTAATTTAAATATCAATTAATTTAATTTCAATTTATAATTAATTAATATTAATTAACTAAAAGACCCGCTTAATTAATATCAATTAATTAAAGATTATAATTACTATAAATCGATTAATTAGAACTCGATAATCAATCGATTCAATTAATTTCGAAGCCTGCACATATCCAACTATCCGAACATCCGATTGCATACATCCAATTAAAAACATCCGAAGAGGCCCAGGGCGTCTTGAAATGATATATAGTCAGTCCAATTCGTGCTGACGGCGTGTGAATGATCTACAGGCACCACCGATGGATGGCATCCAGTGTTTAGTCTAGCTAAATGCAGATGTAGCTGAAACCATGGGCTATTAGAAGTGTTTACGCAGAAAATAAGGACACAGAGAACGTTGATGCTGTTGATCCTAACAAGAATGAAACAAGAATGAATCATGTCATTGTTATCTCTGACTGCTAGGCTGTCTTAAGGGTGGCGATGTTGTTCAGTTGACTGTTGAGCTTTGGTCCGAGTATTCGGCTCCGCCCTGCTGGCTCTCTGCACTCTCTGCCTGGGGCTAGACATACCGTTACCAAGCCAGACACAGCCCTTTCTACGATTATTCAGTGCATTCACCACAATCAATATCAGAGGCAGTGAGCCGCAGAGATCGTATTGACTCACCCCGCCAGCCATTAAGGTATTGCGGAAGGTTGCCTTGGGGCAGAAACTTTAGTCCCTTTTAAGTTGTTATTAAATCTGCGGACTAGGTATGTAATGTGTATCATTAATCTATTATTAGATTTTTTTTATAACTATTAAGCCTCTAGTCCCCCCTCAAGGTGTGTGTGCTACTAGGGCCCCTTACCTTTTGATATTATAAAAGTAATTTAAATATAATTAGTCCACTTAGATAGGAGTTCAGATAGTACTGCGCCATATAATTTAAAAGTAGATCTATATTATCACTGCCATTCCAAACCGTCTGGCCTAGGACCAGGTTATAATAAGCAGCCAGGTAATTAAACTAGCAAAATCTGACAAAGATATCTATCTTTAATATCAGGATAAACTTCGTTCTTTAAAGCTTCGTTCTTTAAAGCTTGACAGTCCCGCCAAAGTAGCCTGGACACTTCCTCCCATCCGCTTCTCGGTGATTTGGCGTCAACTCCCCAGTTCCATTTATAATCAGGGCAAATAAGAATTCCAACTCGCTGATACGTGTCATCATCTAATGACGACTTCCGAAGGACAAGTCCATAGTGGGCGTAGCCATTATCTCGCAACCAGCTGCCTGAACGGCCTGACCCGTCGGACTCATCTTCTTCCTCAGACTGGTCTTTTAAGCTTGTCACTGCTCGTCTTCCAAGATGCAAAAAGTATAGCTCAAGGGCATCGCTGACTACTATCCTCCCGTCATCCAGGAAAACACTGCGCCGAGACATTTCCTGGGATTCCTGTGACGCAAAAAGGTCCTCTCCAGCAAGCTCCGTTTTCCTTGGGATTAGACTCTGGACTGGTTGTGTGCAGTCGCAGAGCAATCCCTCGATTTTAAGCTTGGCATCACAGATGCTGCCAAAGGTATCTCGACCCTCAACGGCGATCAGTCGGAAAAAAGGAGACCCCCAGAATGTGGACGATAGTCCTCTGTCATAGAAAACGGAATTAGGGCCCAGGATTGACGCCCAAGACCAGGATGGAACCTCTCGTGTATGCGGTGAATGGGGAGCATCAAGTCGCCGGGAAGCTGCCGTCTGCCATAGCAATCCAGCTGCCAGATCCCCTTCCCACATACCAGCTAGGTATCTCCCCAATATTGGTCGTGACAATTTCTTGGCCAGTCCGTACACTGCGGGAAGACGATCCTTCTCGTACGTGAGTTCTAGTCGCGAGAATTCTGAGACAATGTCGAACCAGGCGAACCTCAGGTCTTGGACGGCCGCATTGTCGTTCAAGGCCCGCGTAAGGCACGATTTGAGCCAGTATTTCGACGGTTCATAAGCTTCCAAACCCGTGGCGCCATGTTTTTCGGTGTCCGTCAGCTGCGATTCAGGGTCGTCCAATCTCATGCATTCGCATTTCAAACCGGTGTTGCATTCCCAGACTAGTTCCTCGGCGTGGAAATGCAAACACCGCGGAGGGAGAAGCCGTTCTTGGTATGCCCATGCTCTTGTCATAAGGGGGGCATCAGTAATGTGGTGCTTCGCGTTATCCATCTCGATAAAGCGACTGTGGGCGACATGAAGTTGTGGCCGTACGTATATGGTCTCATTTCCGAATTGCAGTGATATGGTCGTTGTCTTGGCTGGGAGCGAACCACCGCCTGGGAGAGGAAAACTGGTCCATCTGTCTGAGAAGAGACTCGTGGCGTTATTTGGGCATCGTGTTGCTGCCACAGTAAGAAGAGAGTTTGAATATACGTTTGCCATGTCGGCCGCTCGAAGCTCCCAGTCTGCCGGGTCGTCTTGGACTATGCAAAGCGCATCAATCCAGAGGTAGCTGATTTTCATGGCCCAGCAGAACTCTATAACATCCTGAAAGGTCTTTGGAAGGGGATCCCAGGGAATCCCGTTGAGCCTGTCTCTCAGAGACAACGTCGTCGTGCTGAAGGTGGTCTGCGACGATCCCCAGCAATAGCTCAGAGCAATGTACGGAGCAGACAGGCCGCTTGTAACCTTTAACTTGATCCCGGATTTGTTTCCCGGCACACCCAAGTCCAGAACCCTGGTAGGAAGAACCGAGGAGGAACGGATTGCACACTGTGGATGATGCTTGTCGCAGCTGACGATCCATCTTTTGACGGTCTCGGCTGCCTGCGTCAACTGGAGCGTAGCAGGGACATCTCTAGACCATTGGAGACATGGGGGAAGCAAGTTGCCGCTTCCTATGAAAAGTTGGTGATTTGTTTAGCAACTCTTAGGGCTAGGTACATACTGGGGTTGTGTGCCAATGTGAAGACTTCCAAGGGCAGGGAAATAGCTCCGCCATTCGAGTTCACGCCCGAGCTACCAAGAACAAACGCGGATGTACGGCCCGTCTCATCGTATGCGAGCGAGACGCGATCAAAATTTCCTTGGAAATCGCTTGGAAATAACTCTCTAAGTTGCGGAAGGCCTCCGGCGATGATTCCGCAGAGGCGGCAGTTGGCGCAGAGATCCTCGTCCCAGCCCTCGGTCGGCGAGGTGGCCATCCCATCGAGGACCTTTGGGACGGGAGCGACCGCTTGGGGTCGAATGAAGCCGAAGGCACATCGGATGCAGCCACTGTCACTCTGCAGGGCGGCGGGTTGACTGACTTCGTCCTTGCGAACGTCCATTATGGCGAGCGCAGCTGCGAAGGTGTCCGAGTTTGAGAGCGGCAATAGCTTTCAGTACACATGGGAGTCATGTCGTTTTGGAGAATCTTTTAGGTCGGCGCTAGGTCGGTGTCTAGCCTGCTGCCTAGTGTACGTGACCTGGCAAGGCAGAATGAGCGACTACCTAGTCTAAGCCCTCTCTTCTACATCCCTAGGACAAAGCTTCTCCCCCTACCTTCAGGCGACTCGGATCATGATGGTGCACTAGTCTTTCTTACTTCCGAATAGTGAGAAACCTCTGCAATGCTTGGAGGTATACTACAAAAGCTGAAGATTGGTGGCAAAAGTTACAAGTTGAAAATCATCAACGCTACGCTTCACCGCATGTGGAGGTTTCTCACATTGGCGACAGCCAATTATCGCTGCATACGCACGCCACCAACAAAACATGGCAGGACCATGGCGGAAGTGCCAGGGCGAAATCTGCCTTGTCACACAAAAGTGAGATACGCTGATAGGGTCGGGCACCATTGCAGCTACTTGGGTCGTCGTTCATACTCGTCCAGCAGACCAGAACTGCGCACATTGCTGAGAGGGTTAATAAAGGAGGCATCCAACTTCTGCCTAGCTCTCTCTACAGTGGATTCGATCAAAATAGCTTTATCGAGAACAAAGGCCTCACCCTCCTTGCACTAACCCGAAAACTGAACCTGGCATCTCGCATCCTTTCGAGATGTCAGACTCGGTGGCTTTCGGTCGGCTTCAGGCCGCGCTGGCGTCTGCGACAAATGAGGTTACCATCGCCGCTGCCAATCTCAACTTCGAATTTTCGCTTGTCAAGATTGAGGCACCCGCCGAATATCAGCCTCTGGGTCGTGTCCTGTCCCCTTCGCGCGTCAACGAAGCAGAAGCTTGGGCCCCTTTATATCACAGCGCGGAGGCTCGGAGCACTTTTTGAAGGGGCGTGTCCTGCAACGCCGAATTTGATCAAAGCCTACGGCACAAGGGCGTCTGAAATCTCACAAGAAATCACCGACAAGGATGCGTGGGCTAGCAAGAACTGGCTATTCTCCGAGTACGGAGGCTTTGACGGGACATCGATCTGGGCGGCGGCGACGTCTAGCAAGGCTGCTCTGCCAGTCCACCTTCTTGCTTGCATCTTGGCCAGAATGTGGAACAATGCAGAGGCGACCTCGGCATGGGTCGAAATTGTCGAGGAGAGACGACGAGAAATTGCCATCAAGTTCAAGGACGGAGAAGAATTGCCATTCAGCCTTTCCGCCGCCGCTGTGCAATCAGAAATAAGCCGAAGTCAGCTTTCAAAATGGGACGCTTCTGCCCGGGCCTGGTTGCGGACTGCCGACATGATTGTGCAGCGTCAGCACAAACAGTTTCTTCTCATAATCCAGAATCTCAGCATGGCTGTTGCGCAGGAGGCCTCTTTATACAAGGGCGTTATGAAAGTTTGGAAATCTGCCCTAGGGGCCATGGAAGGCCTCATCTCCGGATCGCCATTCGTTGTCACAGACGGCACAGTGCTAGTCGGGCTTTCGGCGTGGCATCTGTATCCAGATATGGCTATATTCAGCGGGCAGAGCTGTAACAAGCAGGTACCGATGAACGACCAGCTCGTAAAAGCAGGGCGGCTCTTGTCCCTTGGCAAAGCAACATTGGAAGAAAGGAAGCCCAGGGTGTCTACTGGTCCCTCTCCTTGGCCCATCACAAGTTCTATGGACAAGCCGTAACAAAAACTCGTCGGCTAGATCTAGAGGCAGCAAGGCTTACCTTTTCAGAACTCGTCCTGGCATCGCTAGGAGCTTTCCTGGGACGATGGCGTGTTCCTGTTCAAGGGACGAAGCTGGCTTTGAAGGTCATCTCTACCGTGGCCCACATCATCCCAAGGGACGGCGGCTACAATTCGGTTGAGGAGATCTGGCCCACGATAGTTATCGAACCTCTATTGAGTTTCTTTGCTGATGATGAATCCGCTGCCCTTGCTGTATCACTCGGCCGACGCCGCCCACACTTTCTTCCGTCCTTCGCAAACGCTGACCGATCATTTTTTGGACTCACTCAACTGAAGGTTTTACTACATGTCATGATCGGGGTTGATGCCCAGATAGAGCTGCTCCGGAGAGTGGCGCAGAAGGTTGCCGGACTGGACGGCAGCAATGCCATCATCAAGTATCGGGAGAGGGTTATGTCGCACCCTGGGCCACACTTTACTACGGTATTCCCTGCGCAAGCTTTGTCAGCCGATGAGGAGCCTCCCGCAAAGAAGTCAGCTCGTCACAAAAGATGGGTTGATACCACGGGTGTCTACCGGGACATACCGAACGAGAAATTGGAGTACTCCGACGAGGATCCGAGTTGTGTGCTAGAGCTCCGCAGAACGAAGATTTATGAGAACGGACGACCGAAATACGCGTTCCTATTCGGGATCGAAGAAGAAGTCGGCTTGTGGGTCGACAATTTGCGTTGCTTCGAGCTCTTCCGCAGCCTAAATGGCGACGAGCTCATTACCTACGAGGACATGCTGTGGTGCCTTCAATCAGAATTGGTAAGGCCTTCCGCACTGAAACGCGAGATCCAAGCATCGGAGGATCCGTCCGCCATCTTCCTCAAGGTGATGGCTACGATATCTCAGGTATACCATTCACCGTCCTTCGGAGGGGCCACGATACCGTCTACCATTCTCGATGATGTATTCTCGCCGCCAATATTCAGAGCGGATCTCCGTAGCGGACAAACAGACTTGGAACAAGAAGCCCCGTTGGACCATCACCAATGACCTTTGCATGTCCAGAGAAAACACGGTTAGGCTTATTGCGTATTTCGAGACAGGGTACAATGTTGCCGAGGATTTGAAAGGAGATTACAATTTCATCGGGGTTAGCTCGGGCGACTCAATCTTCATCTTGACAGCATCTCAACCTCTTGCTGAAGCTGCGCCACCGCCTCCTACGTCGCCTGTTCTTATGTCAGTGCCTTCGCCCAATATACCTCCATGTTCACCGCCGAGGTACGGTTCCGCACAAGCTATATATCATAGATATGTTGCTGCAGGAAGCGCTTGGTATGAAGCGCAACCCCGTAGGTGGCATCTGGAGGAGAATCGAAAGAGATCCTGAGGAACGAGAGCCTTGTACTCAGCCGAAAGGCAGAAGGAGCAGTCTATCGTTGATAAAACGAAAAGGTTGCAGGTCATATTGAAAAGGTGTGAGTTACATGTGTCTGTGAGGAGCACAGCTCATTACATAGTATCCACATCTCTGCCACCAGCAGATCGGACCATCTTAGTCATACGGTCTCAACATGTTCATATGAGACAGTATTGGTTAGACATGATCGGAACTTCCCACGGGGTGTAAAAATTTGCACGCTAGGTTAGCCCAATCTACACTCCGAATTTGAATATGGCAGAACTTTCCAGCTCCACCTCAAGATAAAGTTAGACAGACTCGCGCTTATGAGTGACAGCAGCTGAACCGGAGCTTACGCTCGGCATAAATACAAAGTCTTCCCCTTGCGTCGCCATGGACCTAGGATCTTCGTGATAACTCATCTCCTCAGTCATGAATGCACAACCACAACTGAATACCAAACCTCTCCCCAAAGCCACAGGAATTAGAGCGTACCTAGTCTTAGTGACCATTTCGTACGTCGCACTCGGCATAGCGGGCATTGTTTATTTAACACGTGGTGGGCAGAGCTGGGATGGGGACACGAATACATTGACGACTGTGCTTGCTGTCCTTGGCGCAGTCTACAGTATTGTCCCGAGCTTTGACAGCGCAATGCCAACAGGCGGGTTTGCAACACTTGGCCAATCGCGCAATCCGTGGTTCAGTCTCGCTGGGGGTTCTCCACAGAATTGACGTCGCCCTGCGTGGATCAGTTACTCAAGCGTTTACAGATGCCTTTCCATGGGGACCACTCTATCGTGTTTCCTTGCCAATGTTAGCGATCGTTATGTCTGCTATTTTTAAGAAAGCATTTGGCACAGAGCTCGAGAGCGCCCCAATTACAATTAGAGGCATTGATGCCTCTTTTGTGGATCCATCCGATGTCGGAACTGGCATTCGAGGATTAAGTTCAGCGGGGGCCATAATGTACAACACCACTACAAGCATGGGCAGCGGCATGAACCCGGTCCAGAAGTCGTGGACCTACATTGCAGCTGATTCGAGCGACTTGTCCGGCTTGGGAAGCCTGCAATACTTCATGCCCAGTCTTCCCAAACTGGTTGCCGCAGGGTCTGCTGGCTATATCGATTACTCGGCTTCTTCCGTTCCAGTACTGTTTTCTCAAGGGCAATGCTCTTCCAAAATCGACCAAATCGGAAGCCCGCAAGGCTCGATCCAGAATGGCAATAACGACATTTATCTTGACACTACGGCCAACGGTACAGCCAGAATCTAAGTGATAACTGCAGCCAATATAGGATGGTCATGCTTGGCTTATATTGGCACGACGAATGGAACAGCGAATTTCATATCGGACACCAGCGGCAGCTGGAATATCTCAAGCGTCAATATGTCAACTCCGGCTAGTATCCACTTCTCCACAACCCCTGCGAGGTGGAATATGATGGCGGATATTATCTCCGACGCACTAGGCCAAACTGTAGCTTCTTCAGGGTGGAATTGGAATACGGATACTCCAAAAAGTCCCGGATACGCAATGATGCTGATAAACACTCGTCTTTGCTTCGCAACAGCTACGTTGGCATTCAGCCAAAGCCGATCAAACAGCAGTTCAAATAATGTAACCGGAGAAGCTCATCGGCCTGTCCAGAAAGTAGTGCTACACGCCAACTGGGCTCTCAAGGTTACCACCGCATGTCTGTTGCTGCAAGCGCTGGTGGCGTTGTCTCATCTGGTTTATTGGGAAATGGAAGTTCGACTTTGGTATTCTCCAAATCATGGAGATGCGAGAATCTGCAGCAATGACTGCTCCCGCAGACGCAGGGACTCCCCTCCTGGGGCATTGTTCCGAACTTCGCACGGGTGTTACAGATAATCGGGAGGTGGCAATCCGGTCGAATGGACCACCCCATTGGCATTTGGGGTTTGTGCAGTGCATCAATGGGATTACTCCGGCGCCGTGGCATTACATAGTCGATGGCGTCAATAGGTATCAGTGAGGCGGTGCTGTAGGGAAGATACATGCAATGGTAGAGTTCAAACATCTGCGTTTCCATTCCAAGCCGGCTTATAAAGCTAAGTCCTTGGCTAATATTACTTCTTCCCTCTAGTTGTCTTGACTTAACAACGTCTTGAGAGTCTACCTGCAATCTGTATAGGAACTTTTTAAAGAGGTCTATTAATTTCCTATAGTAAAGTAAATAGCACTATTAATAGTAAGAAGATAAAATCTATTAAAATTATTAATAAAAAGTTCTATTAAAATTAGAATAGTAAAAGTAAAAATAAAATATATATATAAAAAGATATTAATTAAAAGATATCTTATTTTAAATTATAAATTAAAAGAACTTAAATTAAAATATTATAATATAATTAAAGTTATAGATATATTAAATTAAGAATATAAAAAATAGAATTTATAAAGAAATTAATATAAATAGAAGAGATATTAAATAGAAGAATTAATTAAAATAAAAGTTAGATTTAAAATTCTAATTTTACTATAATAAGTAATAAAAAGTAAAGATTATAAAAAAAAAGAAATTTAAGTTAATATAATAAAATATAAATATTATATATAAATATTATTATTTATTTATTTATTAATTTAAATATCTATTTATAATTTATTAAATATATAAAGTAATATATATTAAAAATAAAGTAATTTACTATATAAAGTTATATTATAGAATATTATTAGTAAGTAATAAATTAAAGAAGATTTAAGTAATTATTTAGTTTTTTTATAATCTTACTTAATATTATTAAATAAATTAAAATTATATAATAATCTTAAATAGTAAAAATAAATAATAAGACCTATATTTAATACTAGAAGAAATAATAGCTAAATAATAAAATTATTACCTATTAATTTCTATCTAAAGCTTTTATTTAACTTCTTTAACTTTAACTTTATTATTTATAGTTAATAACCTTACTATTTATAATTAATAATCTTAAGATAATAATTTTATTTTAAGTAAAAAGATATAAAAGAAATATCTTCTATTATTAAAAAGCTAACTTTTCTTTTAATATTTATCTCTTATTTTATAATAACTAACTTTAAATATAGTAAATTTTATTTAAAGAGCTTTTACTACTAATAACCTATTATATTTATATTATATAAATAATATTCAATATAATCTTAAATTCTCTTAGAATTTAGAGGATAAATTAAAAAAATAAAAGCTAAATTTCCTCTTAAGTTTTTTAAAAAAGAGAATTTATTTAAGCTATTATTATATTATTTATAATATTTAAATAGAAGATAATAAATTATATTAGCTATTTTTAAATATATTTACTTTTTTATAAGAGAAATAAAGTTAATAAATAAAAAAATTAAATTCTTAATAGTAATTTTATTTTATATATTTAAATAGAAATAGCTATATTTTATAACTTAGTAAAAAATATTAATAATATTAATTTAAGAAGTTAAATTTTTCTTTAAAATATTACTAAAGCTTAATATAATCTTTAGTTTTAGAAGTTATTATATTATATTAAATTAGTATAGATACTAGCTATATAGAATACTAGCTAGAGGGGGATTTAAATAACTTAAATAGGTTATTATAAATATTAGAAATCTTAGGGTATTTTATAAGTTAGGTTATAGAAGTTTTTAATATATTTATTAAGGTTAGAATTAAAAAAGTTAAATAAATTCTAATAAAGAAAAAAAAAGCAGCTTAAAACTTAAAATTTAAGCTTTAGTAACTATAATATACATATAATAAAAATATATTAAATTTAAATATTAGGTTTTTTTATTAAGAGGATTTAAGTAATTATATAAGTAATTTTAAATATTATTTATAATTAAAAGAAATTATAAAATTAATTAATTTTACTTTTAATAATAATTTTTATTTTAAATATTTTACTATTAAAAAAGAATAAATTAAAATATAATTAATATAGATATATAATTTATTAAATTAAATAAATATAATAATATTATTAAAATAAATATAATTAAATTAATAATTATAAATAAAATTAGTATATTAATATATTTAAAATAGCTATATTATTTATATTATAAAAAATAAATATTTAATATTAATGTTTTTTTTAATTATACAATTAATAGTTAATTTAAAATTAAATAAGTTATTTTATTTAATAATAAAAACTTAATAAAAATAAAGCTAGTTATTAAATTAAGTTTATTATAATTATATCATAATAAATTTAATAAATATTTAAAAGTAAATAAGTATTTAAATTTAAAATATTAATAATAAATAGAAAATTAAAAAGTAATTAAAGTAAATATTATAATTAATTAAAAAAGAATATGATATAAATATAAAGTTTTTTTAAATATATATTAAATAATACATATATAATTATTAGTTATTATAGCTTAAATATTACTAAGTTATTTAAAATTAAATAAAAGAAAATAACTATCATTTTTAATAAGTTATTTAAAAAATATAAATATAAATAATATAGAAATATAAATATAAATAGTATAAATAATATAAAGAATTTAAATAATATAAATAATATAAAGTATTTAAATAACTTTATTAATTAAAAAATTAATATAAATATATAAATAAAAAGCTACTATATTATATAATAATATAATAAAAAAAATATAAATTATATTTATATAAGTTATTATATAGATTATAATTAAAATTATAATTATTAATTAATTATATTAAAATATTAAAGTTAAAATTATAAATATATTTTTAAATATATTTTTATTATATATATAATTAAGTTTTTATTATTATATATATAATTTAAGCTTTATTATTATATTTAGTTTTTTTATAATTTTACTTAATATTATTAAACAAATTAAAGTTATATAGTAATTTTAAATAGTAAAAATAAATAATAAAAGCTATATTTAATACTAGAAGAAATAATAGCTAAATAATAAGATTATTACCTATTAATTTTACTTAAAGCTTTTATTTAACTTTTTAATTTTAACTTTATTATTTACAGTTAATAACTTACTATTTATAGTTAATAATCTTAAAATAATAATTTTATTTTAAGTAAAAAATATAAAAAAATATTTTTATTATTAAGAATTAACTTTTCTTTTAATATTTATTTTTATTTTATAATAATAATTTAAATATAGTAAATTTTATTTAAAAAGCTCTTTTATTAGTAATTTATTATATTTATATTATATAAATAATATTTAATATAATTTTAAATTTTCTTAAAATTTAAAGAATAAATTAAAAAATAAAAGTAAATTTCTCTTAACTTTCTTAAAAAAGAAAATCTATTTAAGCTATTATTATACTATTTATAATATCTAAATAGAAAATAATAAATTATATTAGCTATTTTTAAATATTATTTACTTTTTTATAATAAAAATAAAATAATAAATAAGAAAATTAAATTCTTATAGTAATTTTATTTTATATATTTAAATAGAAATAGCTATACTTTATAACTTAGTAAAAATATTAATAATATCTAATTTAAGAAGTTAAGTCTTTCTTTAGAATATTACTAAACTTAATATAATTTCTAATTTTAAAAGCTATTATATTATATTAAGTTAGTATAAATACTAGCTATATAAAATACTAGCTAGAGGGGGAATTTAAATAACTTAAGTTATTATTAGTATTAGGAATTTTAAGATATTAAGTTAGGTTATAGAAGTTTTTAGTATATTTATTAAAGTTAGAGTTAAAAAAGTTAAATAGAATTTTAATAAAAAAGAAAAAAATAGCTTAAAACTTAAAATTTAAGCTTTAGTAATAATAATATATATATAATAAAAATATAGTAAATTTAAATACTAGGTTTTCTTATTAAGAGATATTATTTTATTATATTTAACTATTTATTAAATTACTATATTAAAAAAAAATAAGTAAAATAAAAATTTATTTTAAAATTAATTAATACTAGCTAAAGGTAGATTATAATACTAATTACTATAAATTTATATATAAACTTCTAATAACTTTTTTATAACTTAAAAATAACTAAAATTAAAAAATAGATAAATATATATTATATAACTTAAATAAAATTAATAATAAAATTACTAGTATAAATTTAATAATAATAATAAGCTTTTAAAAATAGTAAAGTAAAATTATAATAAGGTTTTTATTTTATAGCTAAATAATTAAAAGATTTTCTTTTTTTAAATTAATTAAAAAAGCTTTATAAACTTAAATATAAGTAAAATAATATATACTAAATAAATAAATAAATACTAGCTAAGAATATAATAAATAAATATTATAATAATATTAATATTATTATAAAGCTGTTTATATATATATTATAATATTTATTTTTTATATATAAAATATATAAGTATAAATATATAATTAAGAAAGTATATAATTATATAAAAAGATATTATAAGAGTATTTTAATAATATAGTAAATTAAGATTATAATAGCTATATAGTAAATTAAGAATATAATATAAAATTAAGAAATATTATATAAATTTTAATATTTACTATTTATTATTAATTTAATTTTATAAAATATATTATTATAACTTAATAGTAATTATTACTATTAGTATAATTTTATAATTTAAATTATATATAAAATATAAAATTATTATAAAAAAAATATAATTAGTTAAATAATTAGAAAATTAAAAGTAATATAATAAAGAAATTAAAGGAAAATTAATAAATATTATAAATAATTAATATTTATTATTAATAGTCTTTTTTAATTTATATTATTAATAAATATTATAAGCTAAGCTTAAAGTAAAAGATTTAGATATAAGCTTAAGCTAGAAATATAATAACTTAAAAGTACTATTAATAACTAAAGCTTTTACTATAATTTCTTAATAAAATTTTATTTCTTTTTTTCTTTTTCTTTCTTTAATTTAAGATACTTCTAAATATAAAAATCCTATTATTAAATAAATTTAAAACTTATTTCTTATATTATCTTAATCTT